ATTACTCATCCACATTGTCCTCAATAACCTCAAGTCAAACATCCTCTACTTAACCAAAGTATTCTCTACAACTTTTAATAGACATATGACCCAGGTTTATATACTAATCAAAAAGTCTTATTAACAGCATCTGTCCAAAATTTGCTTATTTCTCAATTCTCCAATTCCTCATCATCACCGCATCCAATCTAAAATCCAATTGCACCATCATCTTCTACGCAAAAAACTGTCATAGGAACATGTTACTTTCAAAGCTCTAGCTCGAATTTTTCAAAAATCGATGTTCGATCGTCCAAAAGTTGAAAACCTCAAAATCAAAAAAACATTTTGTACATCCAGGTCCTCATAGGTGAAAAGTTTAGAATCATATAAAACTGAAATATGTTGTAGAATGATGATATTGGGGCAACTTCTAAGTGGGAACATTACATTGGAAATGTCTGCTTCATGAGTTAATCAACATTGGAGATGCTATTTTTAAGCGGGGGAATATGCATACCTTAAATTGCAAAATCTTATTATTATCAAACAAAGCAAGCTATAACTGTCTAATTTTAAAAGCAAAACTCTCCATCATGTCAAGTATCTATTGATAACTTAAAACCAGCAAGTTAATATGGCCCTTTTCGTACGCTCCGATTTTTAAAATGCTCGGTCAAATTCATTCTTGTGTGATGTACACGTGCAGAAGGTCAACGGAGCTTCAATTTCTATTGTTCTGAATGATGATCCATGGGATTCCGAAATCTAATTGACCTTAAAATTATGCGTTTCTTGATAGTAACCATCCCTTCAAACTTATACGAAACTTGTGAAGAATTCAAAGGAGAATACAATGGTATACATATCAAGTGTCTGGTGTACATTGCTCAACTGATTTTTGATGAGATAACTTTTGCGACTTTTTCACTGTTTTTAAAAGATTAATCAGTGTCTGTCATCAAAACATTTTGTTAAGCATTACTAAACATTGTAAACCAAAAAATTTCCTGTCGAATGAGCTATTGCTTGAAGCTCTGGCATAACTCTATTATAAAATATTGAAAATCTTGTCCTGACCAAAAAATCGTCACCAGATTTTTTGCTTGCTATCACACGTAGATTTTGAACAAAAATCCATGATTTTGCATGATACCCCTTTTTTTTACCATATCTCAACAAATACTCATTGGATTCGCACAAAACAAGGACCATTCGATAGCTCTACATTATATCCATTATAATATAAGGGTTTCAAGTACCAGATGTACGTTCCCTTCATAAACCTGCTCAAAATCTTATATTTCATGAGCTACAAGCAGGGGATAATCCAAAACTTTTTTTTTATTTATCTATAATAACCATATTATCGTATAGAGAATTGAAAAAGAAACAGAACCTATTAAGCTTTAAGCTCATGTTCACTTAGTAACGTCAACCGGTACGGCCTTTTGAAATTTGTTCATTTTTACTATCTTTCCTCATTACTCATCCACATTGTCCTCAATAACCTCAAGTCAAACATCCTCTACTTAACCAAAGTATTCTCTACAACTTTTAATAGACATATGACCCAGGTTTATATACTAATCAAAAAGTCTTATTAACAGCATCTGTCCAAAATTTGCTTATTTCTCAATTCTCCAATTCCTCATCATCACCGCATCCAATCTAAAATCCAATTGCACCATCATCTTCTACGCAAAAAACTGTCATAGGAACATGTTACTTTCAAAGCTCTAGCTCGAATTTTTCAAAAATCGATGTTCGATCGTCCAAAAGTTGAAAACCTCAAAATCAAAAAAACATTTTGTACATCCAGGTCCTCATAGGTGAAAAGTTTAGAATCATATAAAACTGAAATATGTTGTAGAATGATGATATTGGGGCAACTTCTAAGTGGGAACATTACATTGGAAATGTCTGCTTCATGAGTTAATCAACATTGGAGATGCTATTTTTAAGCGGGGGAATATGCATACCTTAAATTGCAAAATCTTATTATTATCAAACAAAGCAAGCTATAACTGTCTAATTTTAAAAGCAAAACTCTCCATCATGTCAAGTATCTATTGATAACTTAAAACCAGCAAGTTAATATGGCCCTTTTCGTACGCTCCGATTTTTAAAATGCTCGGTCAAATTCATTCTTGTGTGATGTACACGTGCAGAAGGTCAACGGAGCTTCAATTTCTATTGTTCTGAATGATGATCCATGGGATTCCGAAATCTAATTGACCTTAAAATTATGCGTTTCTTGATAGTAACCATCCCTTCAAACTTATACGAAACTTGTGAAGAATTCAAAGGAGAATACAATGGTATACATATCAAGTGTCTGGTGTACATTGCTCAACTGATTTTTGATGAGATAACTTTTGCGACTTTTTCACTGTTTTTAAAAGATTAATCAGTGTCTGTCATCAAAACATTTTGTTAAGCATTACTAAACATTGTAAACCAAAAAATTTCCTGTCGAATGAGCTATTGCTTGAAGCTCTGGCATAACTCTATTATAAAATATTGAAAATCTTGTCCTGACCAAAAAATCGTCACCAGATTTTTTGCTTGCTATCACACGTAGATTTTGAACAAAAATCCATGATTTTGCATGATACCCCTTTTTTTTACCATATCTCAACAAATACTCATTGGATTCGCACAAAACAAGGACCATTCGATAGCTCTACATTATATCCATTATAATATAAGGGTTTCAAGTACCAGATGTACGTTCCCTTCATAAACCTGCTCAAAATCTTATATTTCATGAGCTACAAGCAGGGGATAATCCAAAACTTTTTTTTTATTTATCTATAATAACCATATTATCGTATAGAGAATTGAAAAAGAAACAGAACCTATTAAGCTTTAAGCTCATGTTCACTTAGTAACGTCAACCGGTACGGCCTTTTGAAATTTGTTCATTTTTACTATCTTTCCTCATTACTCATCCACATTGTCCTCAATAACCTCAAGTCAAACATCCTCTACTTAACCAAAGTATTCTCTACAACTTTTAATAGACATATGACCCAGGTTTATATACTAATCAAAAAGTCTTATTAACAGCATCTGTCCAAAATTTGCTTATTTCTCAATTCTCCAATTCCTCATCATCACCGCATCCAATCTAAAATCCAATTGCACCATCATCTTCTACGCAAAAAACTGTCATAGGAACATGTTACTTTCAAAGCTCTAGCTCGAATTTTTCAAAAATCGATGTTCGATCGTCCAAAAGTTGAAAACCTCAAAATCAAAAAAACATTTTGTACATCCAGGTCCTCATAGGTGAAAAGTTTAGAATCATATAAAACTGAAATATGTTGTAGAATGATGATATTGGGGCAACTTCTAAGTGGGAACATTACATTGGAAATGTCTGCTTCATGAGTTAATCAACATTGGAGATGCTATTTTTAAGCGGGGGAATATGCATACCTTAAATTGCAAAATCTTATTATTATCAAACAAAGCAAGCTATAACTGTCTAATTTTAAAAGCAAAACTCTCCATCATGTCAAGTATCTATTGATAACTTAAAACCAGCAAGTTAATATGGCCCTTTTCGTACGCTCCGATTTTTAAAATGCTCGGTCAAATTCATTCTTGTGTGATGTACACGTGCAGAAGGTCAACGGAGCTTCAATTTCTATTGTTCTGAATGATGATCCATGGGATTCCGAAATCTAATTGACCTTAAAATTATGCGTTTCTTGATAGTAACCATCCCTTCAAACTTATACGAAACTTGTGAAGAATTCAAAGGAGAATACAATGGTATACATATCAAGTGTCTGGTGTACATTGCTCAACTGATTTTTGATGAGATAACTTTTGCGACTTTTTCACTGTTTTTAAAAGATTAATCAGTGTCTGTCATCAAAACATTTTGTTAAGCATTACTAAACATTGTAAACCAAAAAATTTCCTGTCGAATGAGCTATTGCTTGAAGCTCTGGCATAACTCTATTATAAAATATTGAAAATCTTGTCCTGACCAAAAAATCGTCACCAGATTTTTTGCTTGCTATCACACGTAGATTTTGAACAAAAATCCATGATTTTGCATGATACCCCTTTTTTTTACCATATCTCAACAAATACTCATTGGATTCGCACAAAACAAGGACCATTCGATAGCTCTACATTATATCCATTATAATATAAGGGTTTCAAGTACCAGATGTACGTTCCCTTCATAAACCTGCTCAAAATCTTATATTTCATGAGCTACAAGCAGGGGATAATCCAAAACTTTTTTTTTATTTATCTATAATAACCATATTATCGTATAGAGAATTGAAAAAGAAACAGAACCTATTAAGCTTTAAGCTCATGTTCACTTAGTAACGTCAACCGGTACGGCCTTTTGAAATTTGTTCATTTTTACTATCTTTCCTCATTACTCATCCACATTGTCCTCAATAACCTCAAGTCAAACATCCTCTACTTAACCAAAGTATTCTCTACAACTTTTAATAGACATATGACCCAGGTTTATATACTAATCAAAAAGTCTTATTAACAGCATCTGTCCAAAATTTGCTTATTTCTCAATTCTCCAATTCCTCATCATCACCGCATCCAATCTAAAATCCAATTGCACCATCATCTTCTACGCAAAAAACTGTCATAGGAACATGTTACTTTCAAAGCTCTAGCTCGAATTTTTCAAAAATCGAAATTCAAAGAGAAATTATAAGAGAAAAAAGAGAAAGTAAACCAAGCAGAGAAAAGCCAGCGAGCATGGAGGCCGTTTTATAGACCTTTGTAAAGAAATTATTTGAGACCGTTTAATTTGCATGGCAAGTGAAAGAATTTTGTCGCATTGAGTCTAGTTTTTTTTTTACTAGTTTGGTCCTAAACAAAAGGACATCAAGCATCAAGCATCACGCGTCACCTATCACATTCTCATCTCGTATAGCATTCGAAAGTTATAATCAGAAGATTTGGGTCAGCAGTTAAGCAACGAAAAGTTTATTAAATACGATTCAGTACCGTTTAAAGTTAGATGATTACAGCAGGTTCATTTTCAAGGCATCAGGATGGCCATAATGAGCAGCTTTTTTATACCATTTATTAGCGAGATCGACTGATCTCGGTGTGCCAATGCCGTGCTGATGATAGATGCCCAAAGTGTAGTACGCCTTTGCAGTCAATGATTTTGGTTGAATATGTTTCGAAAGCTTGGCAGCTTTGCGAGCCCACAGATACGCTTCCTGATCCGATTGTGCAATCAATTTCGTCTTGAGAGACCCAGTCAAGTACCAACCTGAAAGAGCAAGACATGCTTCTGGATAATCTTGCTGTGCCGCCAACGAGTACCAGTAGATTGATTGCGATTCATCCTCAGGACAGAAGTAGCCGCATTCATAGCACTCACCCAGCTTGGATTGACTTGGAGCATAGCCTAGACGAGCCGCGTTGTGAAGCAGCTTGATGGCGTATTTTGGATCCGGAATCATGCTTGTACTTTCACATTCTCTTGTCAAATGAACAATAGCAAGCGCATGAAGAGCATGAGGTAAGGCGATGCCACCATGACCACCAATGGTTGTTGCTTTGGATTTCTCAGCAGGACCCAAAGGAGCAATGGCAGTGCAGGCAGCTCTTTGTAGCCAGACGACAGCATCACGTATTGATATAGGTTGATCGTAGTAGCCTCTCATCAAAATCACTCCGATTTTGTACATGGCTGGCACATGCATCAAGTGAGCAGCTTTGCGGTAGAATGTCAATGCGCGGGATCCATCCTTACTAGTGCCGATACCAATTTCATAACAAACAGCAGTGCGATACGTTGCTTCTGGGTGTCCATACTTGGAGGCTTGCAGGTACCATTGAAACGCTCGCCTGTGGTTCAATGGCCAACCCAATGCACCCATACCATAGCAGTTGCCAAGTAAAAATTGAGCCTCTGCTTCAGCTCCTTGTCCAGCGCTCTTGTTTGAGTGTGCTAGTTGCTTCAGCAACTTCTTGGCTTCCATGACCATGGCCTCACCTAGCGTCGTACCAGATGTTGTTGATGTAGTGGCGGTTAGTTTCAAGTTCGCCATAATGTCGTCCAGCATGCGCCTGTTGTGAGTTGGTCTCTCGTCGTCAGATAGCTTGGTACGGTTGTTGGGATCCACTTGCCACGCGCTTTCCATTAAATGCAGACACAAAGCCAGTTGAGAGGTCGAGTTGCCTTCGGCTTGCTCTGTTTCGACCAGTTGATGCACTTGCTCGATTGTATCTGGGATAGGCCACTTATCATGATATTCATTGCCGCAAGTAAATTCAGCAATAGATGAACCGCCGCCAAATGAAGAAAAGTCGAGTGAATGTGATGACTCGAATAGCAAATCGGTGGGCAGATTCTCCATAGACTCCGAGAAGGCCTTTTGCTGGTGCTGCTCAATGTCGTTCAGCGAGTCTGATGATTCAATGAAATCCATGGACAAGCCCAACAGAGAGCTGCTTTTGTCGATGGAATCTTGGCTTCGGTGTGTAATCACATCAATGGTGGATGATGCTTTTGCTCTAGTTTTGATAACCGATTTCAATGCTGAATTGTCAATATCATTTGCTACTTTTGCATCCGTTTCAGCGGAAGTGGAGGAGGTGGATTGAAACTGCTTCCAGATGGCAGCAATGGATTGCATTGATGAGTCTGTAGTAACAAAAAGAAATAAAGAGTAGTGAATGTGGGTATGATTAGGAAAATAAACATTTTATTAGCTTGTATACATGGTTGTTATTGTACGCGGGATATTTCGTCTACTCATCATCATTGTCCACCCAAGACTTTGAAATCACCTCCTTGGCTGCCTTGATCTTATTGTCGTATTCTTCAATCAGTTTCTGAATGGATGCCACCTTGGTGAGCAAGAATTTGATTCTGGTTTCAATCTCTTTGGGTGGTCGGTTGGGCGCATTGATGTTTGTTAGTTTGTTGATGTTATCTTCCAACTTGGCAATGTCTGCCTCGGATTGTTTTTTCAGTGCCATATTGGATTCCACTTCCATCGAAGCAGCGAAAATAGTGTCTGAGGTCAGTCTGTTGAATACAGTGTAAAACACCGGTTTGCCAGGTCGGATCGAGTTGGCTCGGCCCTCCTTTTGGACAATCATGATGAGCTCTGCTCTCTCCATTGCCCTCAATGGTGCATCATCGCCGAGGAAGGCAGGACCCCATTTCAGTTCGTCATAGTTGATCTATCCAAATATATACATCAGGTTTCCAGCCTGTCGAGCCCGACATTCGCTCACTTACACTCATTTTGTTTGTTAAAAGTTTCACTATAGTCCAGAACTGTGTTGATGACCACTCCAGCTTGTTGCTCTCGTCAGACGAGTCTCCGAATCCATATTTGCGAATTTCAATCAAGTTGCGAGTGACAATATCCTCGAAAGCAGCTGTCACACAAAGTGTCAATCTCTTGAATTCCGCATATTTACATGTCAAACTCACTCTGTGCGTCCATCTTCATCTTCATCTTTTGCACCAGCAGCTCCAGTTCAGTCAAACGACCACCCAAAGCAGCCACTACTGGACGAAGATCAGGATCTTGTACCTCAGATCCCAGCTGCTTGTTGATAAAAGACATGGCCATTTCAGGAGGTGCGTCAGACAGCGCAATGTTGGAGAAACTCTTGCCGGGAAGTGCTTTACCCAGCGTCTTCATCACACCAGCATTCGAGCTGACAAACACAACATGCGCAATCTCATTTTCAATTAACAAGGCAGCCCATTCCGCCAATTCCTCCCACAGTTTAGCATTCTTGGTTGTTTCACGGTACATGTAGTTATCGATGACGACGATGGGGATGCTCTTTTCGTCCAATTTGTCTTCATCAGCCTCCTCGCTGCTCTTTTCATTGTCTGTCGTTGCATTTCGCTTGGCTTTACGTCCAGTGATCAAGCTCTTGAGTCTCTCGAGGAAATTTTCACGTTCAGCTTCCTCTTCTGCTCTCTTACGAGCCTCCTTTTCGTTAGGCACAACATCTCGAAGTGCAATGGCCACCGTCTCTAAAATAGCCTTAGTTTGCGAATCAGGGTTGGCGGAAAAGCCTGTCTTTTGGCCTGTTGTAGCTGCAACAACTGTATCGATGAGGCCGCTCATGGAAGACACCCAGGTGAATACAGGGAAATAGCCTACTTCCTTGGCAAGATTCTTTGTCATGTCGGATTGGTTTCTGCCGGATCCCACTGCTTCACAATCAATAAAAAGCTTGTTTCTACCATAGATATATTTAGTCGCTCTTCTTTTGTTATTGAACAATGACTTACTTTCTATCCTTGATGGCAGATTTGACCAAGGCAGATTTACCACTTCCCTTGTGTCCAGAAACAAGCACAAACGTCTCTGCAAGCAAGATGAGTCTTTGTGTATTTCTTTTAAATATGTCTCCTCGCACTTACCTGGTGTCTCAGCAAGCCATGAAATCAGCTTTTCAGTCTTTTCGGTATCATCAGCCCACACAGATGTACCAGCACTAGCCAGATCTCTAGAACCTCCAGGCATCAAACGAGCCCATGTTTCATTGCGCAACCAGCGATAGACGGCATACTCTTGAGGGTTGAATCTTTGATTGATCTTGGAGGTAATGAAGAACACACGGATGGGGTCAAACACTACATAGGTGACACCTGCAAATATAGCTGCTAGTACGGGGATGGTGATACGAGGATGGTTGACAAGCCAGTCTTTGACCACGTTGGTACGCTACAGTCAACACATGAGCACATGGATATACATATATATGCGGTGGGTCAGCTTATGCACATACCAACTGCTTTTCATATAAAATGTTCAATCGCGTGCCATCAATGTAATGTCCGTGCAAACAATTGCGAGCACTGGTAGCAAATCTTGTTCTGGTGAATTGAGCAATGGCGTAGCGAGCAGGATCCTTTGCCACGATGGGATTGGGGTACAGTGCAATGTCAAATACTTTACCATAGGGTCTCAAATGGCGATAGAGTCTTTCAACATTGACAGCTTCGCCTTGAAATTCAATGCGGAGTCGATTGGTGGGGTATCTAGCAATCATATCTTCCATAAAAGGCGATCCTTTGACCAGAAAAGCTCTCACAGACTGCAGATTGTAGGGTGCAACAATGTTGTGGCTAACGATATATTCATTGACTCTGGAGACAATGTCTTTGGCAACATCCACTTTAGATCCATCTGTGCTTTTGAAGGAAAATGTAACAATGGCACCACCGTCTTTTGTGCTACCATGACGATCAGTTTACTGTGAGCGAGCAAATCTCGTTAAAAGACATACCGAGCCAATATTTCCTTGATGGCAAAATTGTAGGGTAACTCATCTGAAGGGATTGCCTGATGGGCCTTGGATTCGAGAAAGTTTTTCGAGTTTCTGAAAAAGACTTGTCTGATGTCCAGCACACCCATCCTGAGTGGGAATACGTTATCGAGATAGAGTTGAGCTGTTTGTTCTCGGGCTACTTGAGTGATGGGGATTTCTGTAGTTACAGGCTAATTCGATGTGGGTTGCCAAGCAAGCAGAGTGAGCTTACGCATGGTGTTCCTGCATTATTTGTATGTGTCTGACTTACCTTGGATACGGGGTTAGGCACCTTGGTAGATGACTCCTCTGCAAGCCTCGCAGACAGATTTTTAAATGTTCGCACTTGGAAGATGCTGCTGTTGTTGTTGTTGCGAAGAATGAAATTGAGCAGCGATGTTTGTCGCGGTAGAATAGCACATGATGCCTTTTTAAAGGCTTGCTTTCTTGCCAGCGTATTCGCTGGAATACGTGACAATATCATATGGAAGAAGAAGGGTGAAGTAAAAAGAGAGAAATTGAGTGCGGGGATAATGCATTTTCTCGCGGGGGGACTGGGTCGTGTATTACATTTTGACGCTGCAATGACGAAATTCACCATGTAAAATATGAGATTAGGCAAATCTATATGAATGAATGCAGTAGACACACTGTGGACAGTACAGCAATTCAGAACCCCTGCATCTATTTCAATACATCTGGTTCTTGGCGGTCAACAAAGTAAGGGAGGGGCTCGACAGAGCAATATGAAAATCACTGTGCTTCTCCTTGATTTAGTCGTATATAAACAGCAAGTTGATTTCAATATAAACATAATCTTTCTCTTTTCATTTCTTTAATATACAGACGCATTAACATGTCTCGCAATACTAACAGCAAGCAAAAGACTCCTCTTGTCACTCACTTGGTCGCTGGTGGAGCTGCTGGTCTCATGGAAGCATGTACTTGCCATCCATTGGATACCATCAAGGTCAGAATGCAACTCTCAAAGTCTGGATCAAGAAGCGCTACAGTAAGTTTTCAATTCAAAATGCACGCAAGACTTACTTATAATGCTTCCAGGGTCAACGGCTTGGTTTCTTGGGTGTTGGTGCAAAGATTGTAAGAAATGAATCATTCTGGGCCTTGTACAAAGGTTTGGGTGCAGTTGTATCTGGTATTGTCCCCAAGATGGCTATTCGCTTCTCGTCTTTTGAGCTCTATAAGTCATGGATGGCTGATGAAAATGGTGCCGTCAGCACCAGCTCTGTCTTTTTGGGTAAGTTTTGTCGTTGAGAAAGAGAGAGAGAGAGATAATGATGGGGAGCAAGCCATTGACTCGTTCCATGCACCATGTAGCTGGTCTTGCTGCAGGTACTACAGAAGCAGTGTTAGTCGTGAGTCCCATGGATTTGATAAAGATTCGTCTGCAGGTATGTTTATACATCCACACACACACACACACACAAACTTTGATATGGATCTGCTCACTTAAAGCATGCTACTAGGCACAACGTCATTCCATGGCTGATCCTTTGGATATCCCCAAGTACCGCAACGCACCTCATGCTGCCTACACCATTGTCAAGGAGGAAGGTGTTAGAGCATTGTATAAGGGTGTTACATTGACTGCATTGAGACAAGGTAATTAAACGCTTGGTACAGGCTTGTGTGTGTGTGTATGTGTGAGCCATGCCCAGTGCATATATTAATTTTCTTATTTATACAGCCACAAACCAAGCTGCAAATTTCACTGCATACCAAGAAATGAAGAAGTTTGCTCAGCGTGCTCAAGATTTGACAGAGCTGCCTTCCTATCAACATTTAGTATTAGGTGGTGTTTCAGGTGCCATGGGACCTCTTTCCAATGCGCCTATTGACACTATCAAAACTCGTATCCAGAGATCTTCAGCTCCCGGTAGTGGATTCGAGCGATTCAAGACGGTTACTTCTGAAATCATGCGCAAGGAAGGCTTCTTTGCCTTTTATAAGGGTTTGACTCCTCGTTTGTTGCGAGTTGCACCTGGTCAAGCCGTAACTTTCATGGTGTATGAGCGAGTTAAAAGCATCATTGATAGCTTTTCCGAAAAAGTGCAAGAAGGAGAGATCACTACTAAATTGGTGACTAAATAGATTTGCGGTTTTACATGTAATATTCCTGCTACCTCCCTATTATTCATATCCTACATTATTAATAAAAACTTCTTTCGAATTCAACCTCGTTGTACCGTTGCTCACTGGGGGTTCGAGATAGTGTACTATTGCAGCCTCATGTTTTTAGTAAACTGACTCCAATGAAAGAGGTGCTTGAGCACTCTTGGCTAATCAGATCATTTTGTGGGTCTCTTAGACAAACACTCGTTTATATGGCATTGTACCTGATGGTTTATTGCAATGAACTAACGTTTCGAATATAAGCTCGACTCTCTAAATCAGCAGCTCGAATGGGTTCTGGGATGCGATGCTTTGGGCACGTCGCTAATACTACTTTGATTGCAGATTTCAAAGTGATGAGATGCCCTTGGCTCACAAATACTGGATTCACTGCATTATCAGACGTCCTGAGAGCAGTGCCGTAGATGGAACCACTGGCTGCTCCCACCAGCTTGAAGTCATCGCCCTTTTTGTGCAATGCTTCCTTGTATTGAGACTTGATGGCAGCCATGTCGTCAAATTCAGAGGGTATCACAAGAAAGTTCTTTGCTACTCCAATGGTGGGTGTATCACTCAAGACACCGAGATGGCTTGCAATGCCAAACTGCCGTGGATGTAATAGACCATTTCCTAATGGGATGTCAGTATGATACCGGAGAAGCCCTTCATTTATACCATGTCTACGTGCCATCGACCAAAATCACTTGCGGGTACAATTCAGGCTGATTTGCCTTGAGTTGCTGAATGAGCTCCATCAGGGGTTCCACTTCTCTGAATGCCAGATAACCAGAAATATATGGTAAATGTAATTTTGTTTGCAAGAATTCCTTGTAAACAATCTAAACATGACATTAGATCAAGCTATACTGTTATTCAGGAGAAACAGTCTGTCTATACTTGTAAATCAGGCATTCGCATTACAACCAAACAAGCTACGGCGTTTTCATGGTCTCCAAGTGGGAAACTTAAGTCAACACCACCAACGTATTTTAAATCGGTCAAGGGAGTTGTTTCATAGCTTAGTCTATCCTCAAGCACCAGCTGCTTCTTCAAGTCGTTTTGTTGTCTGGCATCGCGTGAATTGATTGCACTGATTCCGTCTTTTTCTAGCACTTACTGGCTCCAAACACGTCTCTGTTCCTCTGATGGATCTTGATCGTAATCGTTACGCATTCAGGGTGATTGAGAGAGTAATCTGTTTGAGGATGGGACTCGAAATGAATCCTGAGCTCCAAAATAATGATTTCACATGCTTATTTCCTCCAATGATATCATGGCCATGTACGTCAAAAGTTTTTGCACAGTTTTGAAAGTAATATGCATTGCAAGACACGCATGTTATCTATCAGATGGGCCATCAAACAGAAAGGTCGCTGCATTGAGAGGCGCGTTTTAGCTTACGCTCAGCCTGCGCACTAACGATGGACATGTTCAATTAGACATCATCCATCCAAACTTGGCTATTTGCATAAACAGATTTAGGTGTTCATGGAACGAAATAGATGCTCAAACGCAAGCATCGTATTCGCGTAGTACCAGCCCTCATGAAACTATTGAAATGATTCGTTCTTGCTGCAACAACCGTGATATGATGCTGCATGAAAAAAATTCTGCCGACGATCCTATATTAAATCACAATGACGGCATGTCAATCGAATGATATCATTACCTTAAGACAAGGTATAAATACCAGAGCTGATTCCACCTTTCAAAAGTCTTCATCTTATCAGATATATATATATCAAATAACAAATCAATCAAAAATGGACGCCTCAAGAACTAATGCCAAGAAGAACGAATTCGTCGGTAACGTAAAGGACACTGTCGGTGATACCGTTGGTAACGACTCCCTCCAAGCCAGAGGTAAGGCTCAAAACACTGCTGGTCAAACTGAAGGTGTCATGGCCAATGTCCAAGGCTATGTCGAAGGTGCATACGACCAAGTTGCTGGTGCTGTCAAGGGTGCTGCCAATGCTCTCACTGGTGATACTTCTGGTGAAGCCTCTGCCAAGACTCAACGTACCAAGGGTGAAGCTCAAAAGGAATACAACGCTTAAATTCTCAAATCAATTACTTGTAAATACAGGAAATACTGTACAGTTTCACTACCTTACATATATAAATCAATAAACATCCTACCTTTTATAATACTGTAATATCATGTGTGTTGTTGGTTGTGTTTAGCTGATACTAGCAACGTTAATAGCAAAGCAAAAGCACATTTGCCCTCATATTATGCCCCTCTTTCATAGAAAAAAACACTTTATTTATACAATTTACACGAGAACGACTTAATGTTGGGCCCATTGAATAGACTTGATATCAATTCCCTCTTGAACCATTTCCCACAGAGGAGACATTTCTCTTAACTTATCCACATGCTGAGTCACCTTCTTGATGACAAACTCAATCTCCTCGTCAGTTGTGAATCTACCAATACCGAAACGAATGGAACTGTGAGCCATTTCATCATCTGCACCTAACGCACGCAAAACATAGGAAGGCTCAAGGGATGCAGAGGTACAGGCAGAGCCTGAGGACAAGGCAATGTCCTTCAAAGCCATGAGCAGTGATTCACCTTCAACATAGGCAAACGATAAATTGACACAGCCGGGATAGTTGTGCTCGGGATCACCGTTGCGATGCACTTCGTCAATCTTGGATTGAATACCGTCAATTAAACGCTTGGAGAGCCTGGAGATTCTGTCATGATCATACTAGAGAAGCACATGAGTACGTTACGAACAAACATGAAATCCACTGATCCTCAGAACCCCTGCACAATGATTCATTGTGAAAGCCTTACTTATCTTCTCCCATCCACGAGAGATAGAAGAGGACTTGATCTCTCAATCAAACGTAACTATTCACTCCCATTATAATTTACGATGCCTTTCGGCACGATTCATCACGGGATCAATCCATACAAACTCCAACGATAGCTTACCTGCATTTCTTCCATGGCGATTCTGCAAGCTTCACCCATGCCAACGACCAAAGGATGAGGCACAGTACCACTTCTTAAACCTCTTTCTTGTCCACCACCGCTTTGAATAGGCTCCAAACGGACTCTGGGTCTTCTGCGGACATAGATGGCGCCAATACCCTTAGGGCCATAGAGCTTGTGGCCAGAGATACTCATCAAATCGACATTCATGGCATTGACATCCAATGGCACCTTACCAGCAGCTTGGGCAGCGTCTGTGTGGAAGAATACCTTTTTGGATTTACATAATTTACCAATCTCTTCAATGGGTTGCATCACACCGATTTCATTATTGACTGTCATGATCGAAACGATAGATGTGTCAGGGCGAATGGCTTCTTCCAATTGCTTCATATCGATGCGGCCGTTGCTTTGTACAGGGAGATAGGTGACATCGAAACCCTCTTCTTGTAAAACTCTGCAAGAATCCAAAACACACTTGTGTTCCTACATCAAACATAGTTGTATTAGTCATCCCAATCCTACTGCTTGTCTAGCCAAAACTCACAATTTGTGTAGTGATGATGTGCTTCTTCTTGTTCTTGTAGAATCTTGCAACACCCTTGATACTGATGTTGTTGGATTCCGTAGCACCAGAGGTAAAGAGAATCTCTTTGGGGTCAGCACCGATCATTTTGGCAACGTACTACGGAGGAGTTCATGTCAATAAGCAAATCACTAGACACATTAGAGATAACTTACCTCACGAGCCTGCTCCACAGCCTTCTCTGTTTCCCAACCATACTTGTGAGTTCTGGAATGAGGATTACCGTACAATTCAGTCATGTAAGGGATCATGGCATCCAATACTCTGGGATCAGTGGGACTCGTTGCTTGCATGTCGAGATAGATAGGTCTGTCATAACCACTCACAGCCTTTGATTCGAATCCCAAAGAGTCTAATCAAATGCCAACATTAGACATGATGGGCACATGGATGGAATGTATTCTTACCTGAAGTGGGTTTGATGGTCTCAGCTACAGCAGCTTCCTGTTGTTGCAGCCTTGATTGAAAAGAGAAGAGTCTGGATGAAGCAGGCAATGCTAATCTGATAGCAGACTTGGCCGCAATGGGTCTTGTCAATGAGCTTGAAACAATATTTCTCAACATAATTTCTTATTATTATTCAAAACAAGATGGAAGAAGAAAAAAAAAGAGGGGGGGGGGCGGCGGTGGAGTATAGATATATAGGCGTAGTTCAGTGTATAGGCTCTAATCCCAAGAGGACAAATAAGCTTCAACATGAGCTGTAGTCACAAAGACACTACTACCATCTCGGATTGCAACCAATCATCAGTGCAACATTTGAGTATATATGTCAAAGGCAAATCACATTTAGGATTGATAATCGCATCCTATTGATGGATTTCTTATCAGATGTACATCAAAACTGGTACATCAAGGACATGCAGGCTAGGTAATGAGGAGAGCTTGCCAGGATGAAAGGCGCATCTTCGCTCTTGTGCGCGGATTGTCGGCACAGGGCCAATGTGGGAGACTTTTCGGGTAAATTAATATGTCTTGACAAGCGTGGTTACATCTCTTTTGGCGTATTGATATGTGTATAAGTGGCTTGAGTGGACATCCTTGATCGATTGGAGAGATATGACAATTCATCTCAAATGTTAATTGAGTAGGATCAAGATGAACGTCTAAATCATCTCGCTTTTATTGACGAATATCGATTAAACGAGTATGGATCTCGTACAATCTGAGATGCGATTTGCCTCGTTCCTTTTCTGATTACGACCAAACGATTAACTTGCAAGCTGGCATCAACGCACTCTTAAATGTGTGGTCCTTTGATTGTGCAATTACAAGAATTTTTGCCATATGAGACTACACAGTTGTATCAAAACAGCTAGAGCGTTATCCCATAGTGCCGTATACCTAAGAACATCGCTGATGATCTTTAAAGGGCTCCCAATATAGCAAATTTTAAGTGTATTTTGCACAACTAGTAATGGTTTGAGATTTTATACCTCTGATTGAGCTAGAGCAGAGCCATATTTAACTCGATATTTCCTCACTGTTATGCTTTATAGACAGCTCCCTGAATAGTCTGTCCCAAATCAATGCATTTTATCAATATTTAGCCTTGATTTGAATCTCATTTAGCCCTGAACATCCTAACCACTTAAAGAAACCCATCCATTCTGTATGTACCTCATGCCAGAAAAAACATCTGCTCTATTCAACACTTGATAACATTAATTTATAGGGGGATTTTTACCATAGCGAAGAAAAAGTGCAAAGCCATGATAATTAGACGTCTAAATCCAATACTTGGTAATATTGATCTATATGAGGGCTTGACCGCAGCGAAGCGAAGATTCAAAACCATAGCATTCAGCAGCAAATTCGGTTTTTCATTTCCATTATTAATAGCTTACCAACAACATAACGCATCAAAATTTGCATGAGTTAGCCTTACCAAAATTAATATTCCTCCTATTCGAATTAGAAGTTGCACAGGCTGCAGAACTGCCCTTCCCAAAGACTTCAGCTACCAAAGATGTGCTTCTTGTCGTGTAAATACAAGCTATAAAGCAAAACATAACCAAATTGGACAGCTTTCAAGCCTTCAGATCTTGACATGTAGACCTTTCTGAGCCACCGGAATGACGCCAAGCAATTGTACTTGAGTAGTAGTAACTTCCTGACACCTTTGCTCAACTTTTTGAGGACCTAAAAAACAAGGCCAAAAATCGACCAAAAAGTATGAGGGGCACCTCATGGTTTTCATTGAAAATCAAACGATCGCATTTTTCACACTGAAAATGAAGACTTTTACTATGGTATATATCAAATCAAAATGTTCCTCTCGATCCAACGCTACCCTTGAAACTTTGGTTTTGAAGCCTTTGTATGTAAAATTTCGATATTCTAGCCAAAAACCTTATTTCATATTTTACCAAGTGGCTCCATAAATTCATTCAAAACACTTATTTTAATTAGCACCATTGGAAGCGCCTTGAAGAGTACTCCAAAAATGTATTAGGAACCATCAGATGATTATCACAATTTATATAGTCGGATCCCACAAAATAGATTACAGAAGTCGAAAAAAAGACACAATTTGACCAATCTTGAGCAGAAGGAAAGTATTCTGAGTTTGAATCAATTTTGGCGGCGGCGCTGCTGCTGACTGACCCAAATGCCTTTCTGATGATGACAATGATGATTGCGATACTGATTAAAGGGGAACAATGGAATTAAAAGAACAATTGATTAACCCAAATTTTTTTTGGGGGGAGTTTTGCCTCATTAAGATGTCTTTTGCAATGGCAGTATCTCAAAAAAGTCGCTGTAGATCTTACACAAGTCCTGTATTTGCGCATAACCAGCTCTATGTCTCCATCTTAAGAGCATCAGCAGCAGCGAATGGTATGACAATGCTACTATTAGTACTTACAAAAATTAGGCAAAGTATACCACAGCCAAGCCTCATACCAGCTGCTGGCGGATTGTGGAAGGGATTTTGGCGACATGTGGGGTCTTTATTTGGGCAAGTGGAACTCACTTAAGACAACGTTGGCAGATATCGAAAACGCAGCCGATGGTCAATTGAAGGACGACTGTGCAATCACAGACAAAAACAAGAAGCTTTTGTTAGCATTGGCTGATAACATAGGCTTTTTCTCTTTCTCCTCTAGCAAAGCAATGACCCCATTCTGCTGGTACTTTGCGCATGTGTTTTCTTTGACAAGAGTTGGTATTATCATTGTCTAATTCAATTTGATTCTCTGCATGATAAGAATTGAGACCTTTAATTTGACTTACTGGATATTAAATTCTGAAACATGCCCTGATGCCTATGATTTTTGCAGTTAGAGGATCATGTAAATATTTCGTGTATGACATGAGTTAATCAAAGTAGTTATATCACAATCTAGGTGCCCAGTTTCTGTAAATACAATTTTGGGAAACTTCAGGTCAAGTCAAATGTGATTGAAAACTCTGTACGACAAGCTGCTTATCGAGAAAGAAGGCGTAAAACTGAGAGAGACAAGCCTATTCCGGCTGCTCTAGACTAGCTACTACAACCAGCCACAATAGTGTTGAATCTATAAGCTTTTCTAACAGAGAAAAACAGACCTTCCAATACTGATTGATGTCGTCTTCTTGGCTAGCAAGTCCAACGGAATGTGTACAATGTAGATTTTTCCCAACATAAGCATAGATGATACTTAAATCTACTCTTTGTACGCAGAATTAAAGTTTGTCAATCTAATTTAAGTTCGGTTTAAGCCTCGAAATGGATAAATTGGAAACTTGCTCTTCATACTGTCATCACATAAACTCTTATACCTCCCAATCACATTCATGTGCAAGTTGTATGCTTATTTATATACAGCTGAGCAGGGTACATGCGTACAAATACACAAACGATTTGTGCGTGTGTGTTGGCTTAAATATTGGTTTTATTAGTGATATATATTTATAGAGGCATTAAGGTATTATATGTTTACATAAAAGATGTGCATATAAGAGATTTGCATATGAGATAGGTGGGATGCTTAGAATGTACAAATTACTGTCTAATAAATAGTGTAATTGTAGCCATGATATGATGATTGTTGTTGTACATGCAGTTGTACAGACAACGGTTGATTATTACTGTATGAAACATATGCTTGTGAATGCTGGGGAGGTTGATATGAAAGCTGCTGTTGCTGATAACCGAGCAATTGCTGTTGCTGCAGTCGTTGATGATGTTGAAATAGCTGCTGCTCAACAGCGTGTGAATTATAGTCATCATTATAAGCAGAGCCTGCTGCAAATATTTGTTGTTCCTGTGGTGCTGGTTCGCAAATCTCCATCATTTTCGTCGTATTGCCGTAAGCTTGTTGCTGTGTTTGTTGTTGCAATAATGCGGTATTTATCATCATTGGCGCAAAATTCGCCGACTCCATCACTCGAAGTGGAGGCGTTTGTTGTTGCTGTCGCGCCTCAGATCCACAAGACGTTGTTTGCTGACGATAGTATCTGCTGGGCTTCAGGGATCGATCATAGGGATGCTGTCGATGAACAATGACGTCCTCTTCTTTGATGTCCACTTCTGTTATGTTTGTGACAATAGTGTTATGAGCAGAAGCCAAGGTGGCAGTAGCGGTAGTGGTAGCAACATTGGATGCAGCAGCAGCAGCAGCAGCAGCAGCTTCGTGTGATTTTGTATGCTTCCGAAGCGATCTTGAATGGAAATAGGCCTTACTGCAATTCTCAAACAAACACGCAAATGGTCGAATACTAGAATGCGTCTTGACATGTGTACTGAGAGAATCAGGTCTTGAGAATCTCTTGTCACAACCTTCTACATGGCATTCAAAGGGCCTCTCTCCAGTGTGTGTTCGCATGTGGTTTTGCATTTTATGACGCTTCAAGAAGGGCTTTCGCTCCCTAGGACAAGATTTCCATTCACAGAAATAAGCAGCCTGAACAATATAAGCGTCAATTGATTTGTTTTACTTGTGGATATTTGATATTATACATGTGTACCTTGCCACTGCCAATATGAACATCCTTGATGTGAGCAATCAGCTGATCAAGCGATGTTGCCGAGGTGTCACAGCCAGACCATCGACATGGGTGAACTTCATCTTCGTCAGACCCTTCCGCCGTATGGTGAGCATTTGGAGGAGAATTGGGTCCTTCTTTATCGGATGAGGCCACGGCGGCGGCGGCGGCGGTAGATCCTATTAGACATTTGGTAGATACTCCATTTAGTAAAACCATAACAGAGAAGCTTTTGTTTGTTTTACCTGTTAGCTTGGAGTTTAATTGCTTTTCCCTTTCAAGCTGAACCACACGCTGAATAAGCTCTTCCCTTGACAAATGGCAAAACAAGGAATTGGACTCTTCTTTTTCTTGCTGTTCTTCTAATTTAACTCTTGGCTTGATTAAGAAGGAGTTCATCGATTGTCTTCGCAACTCCTTTTCGGTCGGGTCGCACCATTCGTCTGTACAAGGAAATGATGATACAGTGTTACGACGATTATTAGGAGATTTGCGCATTGATGACGATGATAAACCATCTTCGTTTGTCTCCACTAGCAGGTATGGGGAATCGCAGTACAACACCATCTAATAATAGGTGAGGTTAGCCTCTTGGTACACATAATGGTCTCTGAGCTTACTTTTTCTTCGATTTCTGAAATGCATGAATTAGATGAGGATTCGTCATTTTCTTCGGAATGGATAGAAGGAGGGTAGCTCAAATCCATGGATGGATCGATAGAGGCGTCTGTAGTAGAAGTCGATATCATGGAAGTGTCCTGATGTTGATGCCACTGTTGAGTTGGCGCATTTGTAATTGTTGGGGATCCTACTTGATCTCTAAATGTAGACTGAGTGGCGATAGCTTGTCCCACCATCTCAGCTGGGATGCTGTTGCCATTACTGTAAACCGGATGAATATCGGGAGTGCGTATATCCATTGATGAGCAAACTGAAGCCCCAGATAAAGATAAGCCATCTCCGTGTGTCATTTGCTGATGTTGGATCATGACACTATTATTTGCTGGGCCGATATAGTCTACGTATACAAGTGAAAATCAATCATTATGATCACATTTGCACTAAACTCTTTCTAGTACCTGATTCTACGATATTTTCATAATTTGATACTGCTTCTCTATAGTTTAGCATTGGATGGTAGTGTTGCTCGGCTGGAATGACATGGAATGGATTCATGGCAGAGATATTTGACATTGCGTGCTCAGGATTAGCCAGAGTGTCGTTATTTTCAGTGGGATTCATTTCGCGCGTTCTCAATTGTATTTGGTTTTTGACAACTTTTGAATTGTAAATCTATAATTGTACTATAAGCATTTCATTAGAACGACAATGTTGCAATAATCGATTCAGGACCTTACATGTTTGGGTTGACAGTGATTATTGAGTGTTCAGGATGATTGACTTTTTTTTTCTGGAAGCAGGTTGGGAGCAATGGGATGTGTGCTTGGATCAATAATTAAATGTACTATGATGCAAATTCAACACATGCTCTACATGTCCTGTCAATGTACGAGATACCTTTCTGTTTGATTTCTATAAAAGGCAATGAGGAGAGTCAGTTTATGCAAAAGATGTGAAAGCAAGAGAGAGAGAGAGAGAGAGAGAGAGAAAGAGAGAAGGAAAACAAGTGAGGATAAACATATATATGCTCTCTTCATTGGGACCGCTTTTTCGAGTACATGCGTGTCCAACACAACACAACAACATGGAAAAAGACAGCTTAACAGTGTATAGATTATTTAAACATGTTGTGATACAATAACCTTTGTGTACACACAGCCAAAACTAGTGGATATCTTATTTCTGGCTACTGCTATCTGCGCCCTCAAATCAGTGTTGGTTTATAAATGTTCCGCCCGATTCAAATGGCTGCTATATTTTCATGGATTGACAACAAACAAATACAGCTTTGAAAGACAAGAGAAAGAAGCAAGAAATGAACTCATTTTCACATGCTTGACCAAGTAATTTGAAAGAGATATATTTGTAACTTGCTATCAGCAAAAGTCCATTATATTATTTCACATGCTTAACAATCATAATCAGCTCAGGGCGTCGATCAACCCACAATAGTAAAAAGAGTTGGGGGAAATCAAATGTACATCAAATCAACAGCCTGGGCTCGTGCGTTTCATCATTTCTATACAATCATATGCCAACAAATCAAAGAAGTTATCAATATCCACCACCATGTGGAACAGCAATACATTGCACATTATACCAACGTATCCCCCCCCCCTATCGATCCCGACCATTCCCAAAAAGTAGCTGCCGAAGGCATTGATTTCCCTTTTTCTGACAATGGCTATTATAAATTTAATATGTTGAAAATTATTACAACAACAATAAGAATGCTCGGGTTTGCTTGTTTCGTTGAATACCGATAATTTGTTTATTACTCGTAAAAGGATAAGAGCCGATTTCAAGTGACAATGCTATCAGAAGGAATGTTTCAAGCCGTGTGTGTGTGTGTGCGCGTGTGTGTGTCTAGAACAATAGAGTGAGAAGCATGATTCAATACAACGATTTGTCGTCATGACATGCTACTAAACAGTGTGAATCATTGTACGCCATATCAACTATGACAACCGCTCAATTAGCCAAATACACGTTAACAATACATATAGTCATATTATTTTAATACAAAACAGATAAAGAGTGAATACAAGTAGATATTTTTTTTTTTTTCAAATGAATGATTATTTTTGATTTGATTTGAAAATTGTGTCGAATAATTAGATTTAGAGAGCAGAGGCACCGGTAATAATATCAATCAATTCGTTAGTAATGACAGCTTGACGACCACGGTTGAAGGTCATAGTCAACTTTTGGATCATCTCACCAGCATTCTTGGTAGCGTTCTCCATAGCAGCACGCTTGGCACACATCTCAGCAGCATGGCCTTCAGCCATAGCCCAGTAGAGACCGTTAGCAAAAGAGAATTCTTGGAGGTTAGCAAGAACATCATCCTCGATTTCATAAACAGCAAAGTTGGGGGAAGCCTTGAAGGTAGCTTCAGAGTAGACAGGGATGGTTTGAGCTTCATAAGAGACAACAGAGTGGAACTTGTTGTAGACAATGTTGGCAGTATCAAACTCGAGCTCAGAAGACTTGATGATATCAACAATGGAGGCAGCCTCTTGGAAAGTAGGCACATCCTTGCCGATTTGGTTGAAAGTAATGGCGATTTGCTTACGGAAAACACGACTCAATTGAGCCTTGGGCTTGTCACCGAGAACAACGACTTCGGAGGTGGGGTGTTCAGCAACAGCCTTGCGAGTGGCCTTGGAAACACTGGAGTGAATACCACCACAAAGACCACGATCAGAGGAAGAGGCAACAAAGAGGATCTTGCCATCCTCGGCAGCCTTAGTCTCGGCATTGGCAAAGAGAGCTACATGTACAACGATCATTTAGTAAATTGATCCCGAATAGCATCCCCATTCTCGCGCTCTCTCTCTCTCTATCTTCTTGTCATCTACATCTTCTCTCCTTTCTATCCTATGCTCCCCATCTATCTATGCCATTATCCACTTATTCTGATGAGATATTTACAATTGGAAGCTTGACCAAAGACACGAGCGGCTTCCATACCACGTTGAGCCTTGTTGACCTTGGTGGAAGCAATCATCTTCATGGACTTGGTGATCTTTTCAATGTTTTGAACAGACTTCAAACGTTGTTGAACTAGTTAAAAAGTGTTTAACATGTCAAACCTTGATTTCATCGTGTACTATGATCTTACTTTCTTTGAGAGTGGCCATGTTACGGACCTGAACACTGAAATACATTGTATGAGCATGCATTGAGCCTAGTATCATTCTCTCTACTGTTACTTACCTCATAGGAGCTTTACAGGTTTGAACAGCATTACGGGATACAGTGCTCAACATGATGAATAAATTGACTATATTGAAAAAAAAAAAGGGAGAAAGGGGTGGATATTAGTTGGTAGTGTTGTTTTTTTCTCGCCAAAAAAAAACAGGAGGGCCTTTTTGTTTTGACGGGGTTCCTTCTTCACTGACTGACTGGGTGTGTGGGTCTAAATGCTCTCCAAATGCTATAGTCTGATGCGGCCTTCACTCCGATCCAAGTACTGCTCGCCCTGAATGAGGCCTCGGGCAATTCAAAACCTAGGGTTGACCGTGGTCCGTTGATGTCATTCCAATGCCATTGAAACTCCATTTCATAGCTTAACTTTGCGCAAGATTCATGCTACGGTAAGCGTTGCGCTATTCTCTTTTCCATATTATTTCAACATGTCGTCTTCTTCTTCATCAGATCAAGAATCACCCAAGTTGATCGATGCTCTCAAGGTAAGATGAGTGAGATCCACAAACGAGAGTCGGGGATGTTGATACCGTGGTCATCAGACTGTCAAATTAGAGGATTTCAAAGATGTCAATCGTATTCCTTGCGCTCGTAATGCCTTGTTGTACGGAATAGGTGAGTGATTGGAGACCAAATTCAGAGTGGGAATGTGCTAATACGAGTGACATATAGTTGCTGGTATCACTGTGGGAGCTGTTCGTTTCGCTACAAAGCGCATGGTCCCTACGTCTGCCAATTGGGCCGTTGGTACATTCTGTGGTGTTTCCGTGATTTCTTTTGAAGGATGTCAAATGGAAAGAAAACAAAAGATTGAAAAGATGAGATTGATTGTCAAGGCTACAGACTCAAGATCTAAGTCTGATGAAAAGATGATTGTCACTGAGAGAGGCAAGAACGGTGCATTCAATGTCGTTATAGAGACACCTCCTGTCGCACCAGAGGGAAATCAGGATAAGAAATAAAATTTTGTATATATACAAGGAAAATATGTAAAATAAAGGCTGTAAGATATCACTATTACTTGATGCCATTGTCGAGAAGTCTATTTGAAGATTTTTGATGAACTGTTGATAAAATTTTATTTGGATTTATGATAGAGTATGCAAAAAAAAAAAAAAAAGAAAAAAGAGAGAGAGAGAGAGATGTTGGGAGCTTTGTATTACAAAAGAAGGTGGAAAAGCTTTAGAAGAGTATATAAAATATGGCTAAGTATAGTGTGAATGAGGTGGTAAACAGTGTGAAAGGGGAATCGAGGGCAAATGTCAGATCATTTAATCGGCTTTCATCTTTTGGTCGAGGCCAAAGTAATGAAGAGGTGTATTCATTTCATGCTGTGCCTTTTCTTTAACCAAATCAACGTAGCTCTTGATTTGAGAGTTCATGTTTTCCAACAAAGGTAAAATCTGTTCTTGGAGTTTACCAGCGACGCCTTTAGCCTTTTCAATATAAGTGATATCGGTGCGAGCAAGTTCAGTCTTGATCGATGCCAGTTGTTGGTTGATAGTGCCAACGACAGTTGTTAATCTTTGCTTCAACCATTCAGGGACCTGAGGAGATTTGATGTATTCTGTCAAGCCAGCAACCTGTTGTTGGATGTTCTGCGTAAACTGTGCAACCAATTCGCTGGCTCGAGTAGCGCTTGTAGTGACAGAGCTGGGTAAATGTCTCTGGGCAGCCTCGCTGTAGACAGTGACAGATTCAGCCAACGTGTCTTGAATAAGCTTGATGTTTTTTTGTAACTTCTGGACCAAAGCCAGCTGAGACACATCTTCTCGAGATTTAGGAATGCCAGATGTAGATCGGCTGACTTGATCAGACACTTTAACCGTCAATCGGCGAGATGCTTCGTTCATAACACCATACACTCGCATTATTTGGTTATTGGTGGCAGAAACGTCCTTGTTTGTATGTTTAGTAGTGCCGTTTGATTTAACACTATGGCCATTTGAGGTGGGAGGAGGCAAATATCTGTCGACAGCGCCCTCAAGATTATTCACGGCAACTGTAAGTCTCTTGTTGGCATTTTGTACAACAACATGTGCTGGATGAGTGACAGTTTCAACGGTGCTATTAATTCTAACTTTAACGCCATTGATAATCTTGCTGGGCGGTTCGGTCAACGTGTGGATAATTTCAGCGCTAGGTTGATTGATAATAGGTACTTTGGTTTGCAACGTATCAAGTGAACGGCATCCAAAGGCGTCCGCTTTCTTGATTTGAGGCTGTACATATGCTTGATAATAGTTTTGGAGTGGCTGATTGTTTGATGCGTACTGAGCAACTGTGCTCAACGTTGAATTTGCAGTGGATAAGGCAAATCTACCGAGCGAGGTCTTGTTGGCAATGGTGTGAGCTGTCATAACACCGTCCTTTACCAGAGGAATAGAGGTGATGCGGTTGACGAAATCTTGGCCGCTTTTCTCATGTGAGACACCGTTGGCTTCAGATGGCTTCACTGCATCGTTTTGACCTAATATCGTTCTGTTAGTGATGACTGGAGAATGAGACAAGAGATCAATTGAATCGAGAAAGTGCTCGATCTATCTCTTGGTCTATGCAATCGCCTTGATGTACATACCATTCTCTGTGAGCTGGTGGAGAAGCATTTTACCCATTTTTTTTTTGGTTAAATAATCGAGATGATGAAAAAGATAAAAGAGAAAGAAAGAGAGAGAGAGAGAGAGAGTGGGATGTAAACAAGATAGATAAGAAGATGGTGTTAATAGCGTGAGAATGGAGCAGGATATTCCGTCATAAAATGATGAACAGTATGAATGAGATGGTGAGGGCGTAACTTGTTTGTTGTAGCAATTGAATGTGTATATTAGGGTTTTAAGTTTTGAATCAGTTATATTTATACTAACAAGCCATGTGAAAAATGATAGCAAGCTGTTTTGTGCAGGTATTGCCAGAGTGATTCGTATATTAAAATCAGGTTCAGTGCCTGCAACCAGAGAAGATCATGATGTTCACATGGAGTTTTTTTTTTTTGTGTTGGCCAGTGCTTATATATGAAACTCTAATTCCTTTCTTTTTATTGATGCTAGATAAACCTTTTTCTCTTATATATTACATTATTGTATAAAGAAAACAAGATACATGTGTCATATAGACTTGCTAGCTAGTATAGAAAGCGGTGCTACTTGTCCTTGTCCTTGTACATATAAAATATAGTGTGGTGTCCAATTTGAAAAAACAATAGCCACTATCATGCTCATCGATGCATACTACTTTTATTATCTGGCCACTAAAATAATGGCATACACGTATTGATGCTGCTATTGTAAGGCGATAAGCAATAGCTTTGCAGTCTATTCGCTTTTAGTAATGATTTCTGGAGCAAACTCATTGCACCCAATGAGCGATCTTATCTTTCAACGTCTTTTAATTCTAGACCTCTTTAAACAATATAGAGCACAGTATTAATTTGCCAAGTTTAGCGCTATCAAAGTAGTGCAATCAAAGATTTCTTGCGGCTCCTCCCGGTCAAACGTACCACAGCGCTTCGGTAAAGGCTCTCTTTTTCTCACACATCAATCACAAAAAGCTTAATGCGAAGTAAACCCAAAAACAGTAAGAGAAGTACGGGGGAACAGCGTCTGTGGAACATTTACTGATGGTGTCTGATCTGAATCTTGAGAGAGAGCCGATATTTGCCTTTGAAATATAAGTATGTGCTTAATATTCAAAGTTATAATCGAACACTGATAGCTTGTTATTGCGACATGAAATTACTTGTGCATCAAATTGTTTCTAAAGCAGAGATGCTCAGCATGCGCCCTCCCCCTTTTATCAATTTATGCAACCTGCAACTCTGGTGAAACTGTAGCATTACATGTACCCTTCTCTCCATTTGATTACATGTTAAAAGTCATCAGTTAATTTCTCTTTCTTTATCAAGAGGGGAAAGTTTTGTGTCATGTACGAGTGAAATTAATACCTTGACAAGTATACATTTCGTATTTCGCATTAGGCTTATAATTTAAATGAGAAATTTGCAACATTTTGATTCATCAAACACAAGAGCACGCAAGGCAAAGCAAAAATAAGCTGCAATATAAGTGGTAGTAGCTTTCTATGCGCTATTCCCTTGTTATGGGCTTCAAAAAGCATCGTTTGTCTTCCTCGACTATGTAAATTGCAAAAAATATGCCATGTCTTCTTAAGCTTTTTAGTAGTGCTTTTCGAGGCGCATTCAATGGCGCTAATTGTGAAGGATGTTATGAACATGCATATCGAACAATATCAGAAAATATGAAATGAGGTTTATGACGAAAATGTATAGCTTCTACATATGAAAGTCTAACAAACAAGAGTTCAGAGGCTCCCCTGGATCGAGAGATATCTTTTGACCTAATATATGCCTTAACAAAAGTTTTCATTTTTGGAGTCAAAAACGCGATCGTTCGATTTTCGATAAAAACTATGAGGTATACCACTCATGGTTTTGAATCAATTTTCGACGATTCCAAAAAAGTTGAGCAAAGGCGTCAAAAAGCAACTGCTAAATGAAAGCAACAATCTGGTGCTATTCTGGCAGTATAGAACTGCTTATAACACGAGAAAATGCGGTTCATATGTCTCTGAATTTTGCTGTGTTTTGCAAATTTTTTGGGTAGTGAGAGGCAGTACAAGCATGCTGCGTGCCCGTACATGAATTGCTCCCTTTTATAGATGTAAAGCATCCCAAAAAAAAAAGTCAGTTTCACTGTTATATATCACCAATGAATGATTATTATGTAATAACTAAAGTGCAAAAGTGAGATTCATGTATGCTACAGTGAAATTGTCATTTTTATTGCGCAGCTATATTAGTAATGTATTATTAGAAGATATGACATTCAATTCTCTTTTGTATATTACAACATCTTTTATGAAATCTAACTAATTTGCTTTCGTAGAACGAGATAGAGCTGATCAATGTTTTCCTTGTCGCAATAAGTTATTTGTTGAATACATGAAATATACAGATCACTGTTTCTAGGCTATGAATATCAACGAATAATTCTGCATTTGCGAGTATTCTGGTTACTAGCCCATCTGTCTCGCTACGCTTGATGACGGCGTCTCCTTGCGGGACCTTGTCAAAGACATTTCAAATCAGAGATATTAAGACTTTGATATATCAAATAGATTTTAAATAATCAAATAATAGTAAAAAAAAAAGGCTATATTAGAGCCAGGAGGGAGGTATGCCGCTTGGCACCCTCTTTGCGTATATGTTAACATCAAACAAAAACTAATATTGAGACAATGTGGGAGTTCAAGTTTTATACAGCATTTGTACGCCACATTTTCAGGTAGTAGAGCTGCCATACCATTCGCTGATGTTACTCGAGATGGGACATCAAGCTGGTCAGCGTAAATACAGGACTTGTATAAGATCTACAGCGACTTTTTTGAGCGATTGCCATCGCAAAAGATATCTTTATAGGAGAAACCTCTCAAAAAAGCAAAAGAAAAAGTGTTCAAGCTAAGCGATTGTCCTTTCGAATCCATGTTCCTCATTTAATTAGCATCCTAATAGTCATTGTTATCATCAGAAAGGCAACTGTGTCAGCCAGCAGCAGCGCCGCCGCCAAAATTAATTCGAGCTCAGTTTTTTTTTTTTTTTTTTTTCTGTTCAAGATTGGCCAAATTCTGTTTTTTTTCGACTTCTTTCAACTATTTCGCGATTTTCGACTATATAAATTGTGATGATCACCCTTCGGTCCCTAATACATTCTTGAAGTACTTTCCAAGGCGCTTCCAATGATGCTAATTATAATAAATAGTTTGACTGAAATTATTGAGCAATTTAATAAAATTTGAAATGAGGTTTTTTGCGAAAATAGCCATATTTTGCATATGAAAACCTCATAAAAGCGGTTTCAGAAGTTGCGTTGGATCGAGAGGAACATTTTGATTTGATATATACCATAGTAAAGGTCTTCATTTTCAGTGTGAAAAATGCGATCGTTTGATTTTCAATGAAAACCATGAGGTGTCCCTCATGCTTTTTGATGGATTTTTGACCATGTTTTTTAGGTCCTCAAAAAGTTGAGCAAAGGTGTCAGGAAGTTACTGCTACTCAAGTACAATTGTTTGGCGTCATTCCGGTGGCTCAGAAAGGTCTACATGTCAAGATCTGAAGGCTTGAAAGCTGTCCAATTTGGTTATGTTTTGCTTTATAGCTTGTATTTACACGACAAGAAGCACATCTTTGGTAGCTGAAGTCTTCGGGAAGGGCAGTTCTGCAGCCTGTGCAACTTCTAATTCGAATAGGAGGAATATTAATTTTGGTAAGGCTAACTCATGCAAATTTTGATGCGTTATGTTGTTGGTAAGCTATTAATAATGGAAATGAAAAACTGATTTTGCTGCTTGAATACTATGGTTATGCACCTTCGCTTCGCTACGGTAAATTCCTCATTAAGATTAATGTTACCAAATATTGGGGTAGATGCTTAGTTGCTCTGGTTTTGCATCTTTGCTTCGCTACTGTAAAACTCTCTTATAGGTCAATGTTACCGCATTTGTTTGGGACGACTGTATGGCTACATTTGGACCTTAAAGCAGCAGAAAAAAAATTCAGTTTATAGATGTTGATTCGATGAGATAGATTCTGATAGCCAGAAATATGCTATTAGATTTGACGTTTCCGGCCGACTAGCTTACGGAAACATACTTGGAGTAGATGCATAAACAAACTTTCTGATTGGCATGACTTGTCCAATGAAACGCCATGAGCATGATTTCTATCATCCAATCACTGAGAAACGGATTGCAAGGAGAATTGTGAATTTCCTTGGAAAAAAGTGCGTAATGCTTGTGAATCGAACTGCAAATGAAGAGAGACTTGTACAGCAGGGCTCACAAATCAACGCTTGAGCAAGATTCAGGTACAAAAGATGCGAGTTTGATCCCGTCAAAGTTAGCCACAGTTTTATATCTGAAACGCAAATCAGACTGGTATGACAATAGTGCTTTATCAAGCACAGAATACAAGAATTGTCTCTAAATTAAATTATCCAATACTAGAGCTTAGGGTATGCATCATTGCACACAAAGCCTAAGAAAAACCAATGATGCTAACCCTTATCAAAATACACGCAATCCATCTTTCCAAATGGAGAGAGTTCATATTAGGTGGACACATGGCTGATAGTATGAGTTACCACATACAATTTTACGCACTACCACACCATTTAGGAAGGCTAATACGATATTTCATTGGACATGAGTGGCCCATTCTAAGAATCTAAAGATGTGTGCCAACGCACCTGTACTCACTGAGGAATATTTCCCACATATAGACAGCCTTACATAACTGAAAAAAAGAAGCTGAATGTAATAAACATAAAGAAAATAGGCTTTATATAAAGATTTGGATTTTTTTGTTGTTTAAATAAATACACATTGAACAAAGTAAAGGGGGATGGGGGTAACAAAGAAGGATGTAGATTTGTAGTATAGCAGTAGCAGCAGTAGTAGTAATAGTAGTAGTGTATTAGATAATATAATATAAAAGCTATTTGCTTTCTTGTTCAAAAAAAAATCGGCCTCTCATTGAGCAGCAAGCTTGAAGGCAGCAACCATTTGATGAGCTTCAACGGGGTCAATGACCTTCTTCCAAGCATTTTCCAAACGTTCTCTTTGCAGAGCTTCCTTACCACGAGCAGCCAGCTTAGCCTTACGCTTAGGAGTAGGAGACAACTTGGCAGTGAGTTCAAAGCTCCATCTACGGAAGAGCCAGACCTTGACAACATCGAGAATCATAAAGTAAACTAGAGAGATGGCAAGGACAGCAATACCCCAAGGCCAACCACAGGGAGCGACTTCTTCTCTCTCACCAAAGACACCATAAACAGAGAAGAACAAGGCGAGCACTTGGGTAGCAAGGATACAAACAGTGAAGATCCAATGAGGAATGTTCTTGTACCAATAACCGGGAACACGAGTAGAGAAGATGACAAAGTGAGGAGCTAAACGTAGAAAAAGGGTTAGATGATATAGTTCACACGCTGAGATGGCGAGTCTTACCAGAGGAGATGTGGAGGTACATGATGGAGTGCAGCTCGAAAGGAGTAACATGGAAGACATCACGAGCAATATAAAAGTGAGCAAATGAGAGAGCGGTGAGAAGAACAGCCAATACAGTGGACATGGTAAGCAATTGACCAATTCTCCATTTATCGGGACGCTCAGAAATTTCAGTATTATCAACAGAAATGACCAAAGTAGCAGCATCATTCTAATAACATGTTAGTTATAGCAGATGACGCATATCACACACACGCACATTCAACCTACCAATACACAAATCATAATCAACAAAATAGCAGGCATGTTCCAGTTCTCAACCAAAGTGATAATGAACATAAACAACAAAAAGTGGATAGTGGAGGTGATACGGTAGAGAGCATAAGAACGAAGACGTTGGAAAATAGCACGAGAGGTCTTTACGCCATCGATGATAGTGGACAAACCAGGAGCAAGCAACACGATATCAGCAGCAGAACGAGCAGCATCGGTACAGCCCTCAACAGCAATACCAACATTAGCCTTCTTCAATGCAGGAGCATCATTGACACCATCACCAGTCATACCAACCAAGTAACCCTTGTTCTGAAGTAGCTCAACGACACGGTACTTGTGCTCGGGGATCACTTGAGCAAAACCATCAGCACGACGACAATGCTCAGTAACTTCCTCTTCAGATTTGGTAGGATCCACCAAATGGTTAGCATCCAAGATGACACGACCCATACCGAGACGAGCACCGACTTCCTTTGCAATGATGAGCTGATCGCCAGTAATCATCTTGACATCCACACCGAGAATGTTACAATCGCGAATAGTAGCAGCAGAATCAGGACGAGGAGGATCCAAAAGAGAGATCATACCAACGAGCTCAAACTTGTTGAGGTCACCAGGAACAGTCTTGGCAACACCAAGAGCACGAAGACCACGACGAGCAAGAGAGTTGACAGCATTAACAGCATCGTTGCTACCACCAGCAAGCTTTGTAATCACTTGGGGAGCACCCTTGGCGACACGGAAAGATTGGTTGGTGGCCAAATCCAGAATCGTAGCTTCAGTCATCTTGGTAGTGGGGTTGAAGGGTTGGAAGGCAGTGACCTTGTAACCAGGGACACCCAAGGACTTGGCAGGACGAGTCTTGAGGATTTCAAGAGAGCCTTCAGCGGCGCGACGGACGGCAAATTCAATAGGATCGTTAGCACCAGATTCAGCAGCAAGGTAAGAATAGAGGAGGATATCGTCTGCAGTGTAGTCACCAGACAACCAGGGTTCATCAAAAGTCAGTTCATTCAAGGTCAATGTACCCGTCTTGTCAGAGCAGAGGACAGAGACAGAGGCCAGTTCTTCAACAGCAGTAAGACGCTTGACAATCACCTTCTTTTGAGCAAGTTGCTTGGCACCCAGGGCCATGGTAACAGACATGACGGTAGGCAAACCAACAGGGATAGCAGCAACAGTCAATACAAGACAGTGTTCAAGCACCTTTTTCCAGTTACCAGCAGGTGTGCCACGGAAACGGACCAATTGGTAGATCAAGATGATGAGCACAAGGACAACAGTAGACCAAATCAAGACGTTGCCGATTTTACCAATGATCTTTTGGAAATGGCCTTCTTCGTTTGTAATGGCAATCAAGTTGGCAGCGCGTCCGATGAACGTGTTGATACCCGTCTTGGTGACCACAGCCAAGTTTTGACCTTGCTTGACGATACTGGAAGAAAATACAGTAGAGCCCTTCTTCTTGGCCACAGGGAGCGATTCACCAGTAAGAGCAGATTGATCAATTTGGAGTTCAGTTTCATTGACTTCACCATTGACACCAAGACCCAAAAGCTTTGCATCAGCAGGGACGATATCACCAATACGAAGGACAATGATATCACCAGGTACCAGCTCCTTGACATTGATTTCAATGAGTTCACCGTTTCTCCAGCATCTTGTCTTGAGAGCCAAGGTTTGACGAAGTGCATCCAGAGCAGATTCAGCCTTTGCTTCTTCAATGAAACCGATCAAGGCATTGATGAATAACAGGGCCAAGATGATACCAAAGTCAAGCCAATCACCCACAACAGCAGCAATGATACAAGCAATTTCGATCAAGTAGGCAATGGGACCAGTAAAGTACAGCAAGAACTTGATGATGGGGTTTTGTTTTCTTTCAGGCAACTCGTTCAGACCAAACTTTTCAGTGCGCTCAGCGACCTCTGTATCAGACAAGCCAGTGGAGGGATCCGTGTGCAATAGCAGCTCTAGTTCCGGGGAGATCTCATCTTCATGCTCAACATGCTCATGATCCTCAAATTGAGCTTCCTCCTTCTTGTCCTCGTCTGGCTTGACATCAGATCGAACTTCAATCTTTTCCTCGTTTGACATTTTTTCTTGGCTTTTTTTTTTCTCTTTATAAAAAACTTCCACTACTTGATACTGATGAAACTCTGAGGTATGTGTACAGGCTGAAGGGGGGGGGGCGGTGATGAAAGAAGAAAGTAAAAGAAAAGGTTAGAGAGAGAGAGAAAGAAGAGAGAGGGGAAAAAAGAGAGAAGAAATTGGATTTTATCTTTATAGCTTGTGTGATCTGATTCAACGGAAAAACGATTGAATTCAATGTATGATAGATTTGCAAACCACTCTGTTTAATTATCGTCTGATTAGTACCACCTTGGAAACGGACAGAGAGACAAAGAGATGTTGTGGTTGCAGGCGGATGATCAAAACGACGACATCAAGGCTTCTTTTTTACGCCTATTGTTACTTGTTCTGCAGGGTTTTCTTGATCTAGAGAGATGGATATGGCTACACTAATGTCTTATGGGAATATTTGTTTAAAATAACCAAACAAAACTAAGCAGTGTCATCATTCATCCCAGGGCAACAGGAGAGGACGGAAATGGAGAGAAAGAGAGGGGGGGGGGGAGAGGGAGGTCGGCGGCGGCATCATAGATCAAGAGTTTTAGGTTAGCAATGATTTCCCATGATTGAATTCCATAGAACGCTTAAACTTATTTTCCTCTCCTTTACATGTCCATCTAGTTACGTTTATATTGCAAATCACATGTAGGGTACTGTATAGGTAATAGTATAACAAACAACTCGATGGACACTTGTTTCTCTAGATGGTAACACGAAAGAATAAATGCATAATAAACAACATGTATTGGTGGGTGAGAAACCTAGTGTCCTTTAAAAGGTAAGCATTTGGGTCACTTTGTTGTTGCGTTTTGGCTCGAGAAGCAGCATGACCTATAAAACCATCAAGTTACCAGGGTTATACATCATGCTTTTTTCCCCTTTGTTGCCTCTCTTTTCTTTGCAGCGTTTATTGAATGCTCACTGAAAAAGTGAAAAGAAACAGAATCATGGCTGATTTTTCTGATCTGCGCTGACTTTAGAGAGCCTAGTGCATGGAAGAAATTTAACCTTTCTTTATCCTGAACCTTGTTAAAAACTAAGGACCGATGTAGTACAAAATCAAGAAAATAAAAACAGGTGAGAATGTAATACCTACATCTGCTTAGCACCATAACCAGAAAGAGAGAGAGAGAGAGAGAGACAGAGACAGAGAAACAGATCGCTCAGAAATTGCGTCTTCCTTGTTTAAATCCCATGATGGCAAATGTTGTGTTGTTTTGCCACATGGAGTCGAGAATGATGTATTGCCATCCTTTTTCTTGAGGGAAAAGAGAATGAAACATGTTGTATTGTATATACGAAAAGAAGAATAGAATAAGTGGATCCATGTATCACGAGTCGAGTGCAAAATGTGCAACGTCGTACTCTGCTTTCTTGATATATTTAATATAACATTTGTATTTGGGAATCATGTACAACTGCGTACACTTTGGATATTCCAGAATCCTACTTGTGGTCAAGTTCCTTTTGGAAGAGATGAGTTAGTGTGTACATTCTTTGAGCCAAAGGCAAGAGCAGCAAGCAGAGTAGTAATGGTGGCAAATAGGAAAAGCAGCAAGTTATATATATACATATATATATATATATATATATGAGATTGAAAACATGCACTTTATTTATGCACAGGTAAATATGCAAGCTTTTACGAATTAACATCTGATGTTATTATTTTCCTTTTCAAGAGATTTTATCCATAACATAAGGTTTTATTTTATTTGGCAATTTGTTACTACTATACAATTTATGATCTAGGGCCATCATGAGGTGGGGGGCAAGGGTATATTAGTAGATGATGAGGAGGAGGAATCTAGCGATGTGTCCGCCGTTGTTGTGGCTGCCGGTTGATAGTGGTGAGGTGCTGGATTGGACCACATTGAGTGATCGTGATTGTTTGAATGGAAGGTCGTTCTGTTGTTGGGTGATAGTAGTGTTGTTTGGTGATATACATCTTCGTCTGTATCATCCTCTTCCTCAGCATCGTAGTCAGCAATACCGGAATTAGCTAAACCCGCATTGTAGCTTGTACGAGGTCTGCTAAAAGCAGAGGCCTCTTGTGAATGCAATGTTGTTAATGGAATGTCGGGTCCCACCGATGATTCATTTGAAGAGGATGAGGTCTCCTTTCTATCGGGCCTCTGTTCAATCATCAAGTCGTCCACCACACGCTCGTTGATGGCAGTAGCAGGTTTACTGCTAGGTTGCTTGTTGGTGGCATAACCCGACACAAATCCCATTTGAGTGAGTGGCACGTCTGATTCATTGGATCCTGCTGAGCCGGTCTTGCTGTATCGTTTTGGCATGAGCGAATCTCGAAAAATATCCATGTTCCCTTTAGGCTTGTCTAGAAAACGTGGAATTGGCATGTTACGATCGATTGCCTCTTTTGTTCTTCTTTCCTTTTCATATTCGCTCCATTTCTTCATGGTAATCACGCTGCTATCAAACTCGCCATCTTTATCTGCATGACCTCCTTTCTTGTCCGATTTTGCACCCTCCACTTTACGAGTATCTCCCCATGAAAAGTCATCGAAATGCCAGTAAGCGTACGTGGGTAGCACAAAGTTCCAGATAGGCAGACTGATCAGGTACACCAACATCCATCCAACATAGACAATCTTTCGACTGGTCATCACAATCAAGACTGCTGGTAAGCCCAGGATCAAAGCCAGCAAGATGAGTGGGATAAGGGCAGGCTGTCCCAAGATGGCCATCACAATGAGATACAGGGTAAACGAGATGGCGGCAGGCAGAGCCAACGTACCCACCAGCTCCATAAAGATGACAAACTGCATTGAAAAGCAGAAGGTACCGCACAGATCATGGACAAACAGCAGTTCCATCAGGTTGTGAATTGTCGAGTTGATCCAACGTCTGCGCTGTGAGAGCAGCACCATGAACGTATCAGGCACCACGGTCTTGCAACTATCATGGCCATTGTGAGCTTAAAACGTACACATATACACACTACTGTATGACTTACACTGCTTGTGGAACAAACATCATCTTTCTATTTGGAAAGGTGCGAAGCATCAATGTAGACAAATAGCGATCTTCACCCAGCAACAACAAGTTCTTCTTATGCAGTGTGTCGACCACATTCTCAGAGTAGCGTTCAACGATGTCAGGGTTGGCCAGAATAGGCACCCAGTAGCCATCTGGACCCTTGGGGGCTTTGATACGGTACATGCAGAAACAGCCAGGTAGACACGTAACGCCGCCAAAGATGGACTCAAAGGCCTTGGATTGATGATGGGAGATATAGTATTCAAAGACTTGCATCATGGTCACCCAACTGTCTGTCTTGTTGGCAATCTTGGTTTCACCACAGAGTCCAGAAATTTCAGGGTCTTTGACAGCACATGATATCAGTCTTGAAAGCGCATCAGGAAATAGCTTGGTGTCTGCATCCACCATGAGCACAATTTCATACGCATCAGGAGGCACGCCTGCCACACGCCAGATGCCATTAAAGAACTCGTATTCCATGGTTGTCATACGCTCATCAAACATTACCTTTTGCATGAATTGCATCAGGATGATTTGAGAATCTCTCTTGCCGCGATTACCAGGCTTGCCTGCTTTGGCTTGCTCTTCAGGGGTGCCGCATTTGACGATGGTAATCATAGGGACGCGCTGCTGATGTGCCTTGTCAACGGTGGTGTCATCGTACTTGTAGAAACCAGCATACACTTTGGCCATGTTGTTCTGTCGGGAGCCATCTGCTAATGCTACGTAGGAATAGGGCTCCACTTGATTTGCAGGCACGATCAGGTCTCTCATCATGTTGACACAGATATCAGGTGTGGACATGGTTTCGCCAGCACCAGTAATCAGACCATCACAAATCACCAGCAAGAGTTTATGGCTGTTGGGATAGTCGCTGGTGGCAATCGAATCCAACGTGATACGGATACCAGCTTCACCTTCAGAGTAGCAGGTCACTAGACAGATGGTATGAGCAAGGGGAAAATTGAATGGCATGTAGTCTGAGGGAGGCTGTCTCACTGCATGGCGTGAAATGGGTAAGGGACAAACTGGGCCTGATGAGTTGGTATCCGTCGTGCTTGCCATGTCAGACGATGTCAGTGATGAGCGACGTGCATGGTGATGAGGATCGCTGCCCAGGAACCGAGCAGAGGCTGAAGGCGTGTTGTAGAATACAGAAGAGCGACTGGTGTTGTAGCCGTCGGGCGAAGAGCCACCCAGCATGTAGGAAGAGTGTCTGCCAGATCCATCTATGCCATACATCATGGATTGTCGGTTCACATGACCCTCCAATGCACTAAGAATAGAGTGTTTGTATAAATAAAGGCATCCGCGATAAAAATAAGATGTCTAGTAGTACAATACCTATTTGGAGTTCTCCAGACAGATGATGCGTTGGCTAACTTTTCAGTGTCAAAGCGCGTGGAGCCATGCAAAGGTTGAGTAAAGCGAGATGTTTGAGGAAACAGGCTCTTGCGTCTGCTGTTTGCGCCGCCGTAGAATTGGGATTGAATGCGAGGCTTGGAAAGTGGTGCGCCAGCTTGCATGTTGGTTGTCCAGTTTTCAATTTCTGCTTCACGCTTCATTCTGGCAGAATACGACTCGCCTTCCTTGAAATTGCCCAGTTTCCAGGACAGAAACCAGCCAAAAATGACAGCTAGTGCGAATTTGACGGCAATGACACCGAGAATGACAGCCAGAGACACGTACAGTACAATATCGGAGGCCATGCAGCCAATGCTGATGGTATCCAACGAGCCCACCTTGATGGTAGCAGACAGGCATTTTGCTTCTTGCTCCCACTGTCCCTCATCGTTTGCTCTATTTGCGTTGACAATTCTTGTAATGTCCTTTCCGGCAAACTGGTTCACATCTTGCAAGATGGCTGCAATTAAGCCATTGGGCTTTGTCTGGAAATAAGCAGGTGGTAACGATGAGAGCAGTTTTAAATTCAGGACGTTTCTAATATATCAAATAGTTTAAATTCATGCCCGCAGTAGATCACAAAAATATACACAAATACCCGTTATAAACAGTGAACGCATTATCCGCTGTAATATCGCTCCAGTCATAGTACACACGCGCGGCTTTGTCGAATCCACCAGCGGATTTTGGCACACCTTGGCTCTGAAAGCTGCTGTAAACATTACGCGCATTACCGGATAAGTGACAAGCTGTTCTATTCATAAATTGGGAAGGATCAGGTGGGGTGGTCGCATTTGGATTGAACAACTGGCATGGAAAATAGATCTGTTGATCACCTTGAATGGGAATAAATACAGGTGCACACTCGGGTTGACTTGTTTGAAACAGAAATGTAGCATCCATGCCACCCGCATTCACTGGTGGATACAAGATGTTGGTCGACTCGTTGGTGGGCCCAGCAGGATGCTCCCATTCAGCCAGCATATAAGCCCAGCCTGATATGATCAAGTAGCCTGGACTGACTTGTCCTCCACGCACACTCAATGGTGGAATGGGACACACTGCTTGCGTAAAGCCAAAGGTCAAGAAGCCAACACAACCCATGATAAACAAGATGAACGAAACTAGGCCAATTTTTTCACGCCAAGCCATTTGCGCAGGGCCATCAGGAATTCCTTTTTATACATGGTGATTAATCAACCCACTACAATGACTCCCACCACAACCTCCACGGATATCACATATCCCATTGTACGTACCAGCACATCTGAGCAGTGGTTTGGGTATACAGCATGTTAAAATGCGACAGTATGTCATCCAAGGGCTGAATCCAGAAAGACATCTCTTCTTTTCGGCGCTGTGATTGTCGTTATCATGTTCAAACTGATCCCCATCTTCTTGCTTCTCCTCTCTGCCCAATATACTCTTTCCACGTCTCAGAAACTGTTCACGAGCAGTAGGTCTTCTCTCTAATTGCACATGCGGTTGTTGCTGATGCTGTGGTGTAGGCGGTAGGGGACGGGATGGCTGAGGCTGATTGCCAGTAGTGCTAGGATGGTTGTGATCAGGTTCATTGGCGGCTCTTTGGCGATAATGGTATAAACGGCTATTTGGATCATTTCTTTCACGCTCAGGCCTGACGAGCGACTTTTGTCTCCTGGGTCTATTGGGGTCGGATTGCGATGATTTTGATATATTGCGACGTAGCGATGTTGAACGGCCCACTGCAGACGCAGCAGTGGTGGTTGCATTATTTGTGGAGCTCATGGAGGACGCTTATATATATATATATATTTACAAGAAAGAAGAAAAAGAGAGAGAGAGAGAGAGAAAAAAAGAAACAATAAAGTTGTGGTGAAATAGGTCAAGTCGTACCAAACTGATTGACCTTATATTACAATTGTAATTTTACGAAATCAATACTATGAAAAAAAAAAAAAAAAAAAAGAGAAGCAAGATAGGAAAAAGGGGATCCATCGCACGATTTTTCCAAGGGCTTGGTATTTATAGCCTATTTATGTTGTGGTAAATAGCATCATCCTGACCCTTCTTTCAATGCCATGATTTCAGTTGATCACAGTGCTGAGGTTAGAATTTGCATCTTCATCATTATCTGTTTTGTATATGTACACACATTATATAAGCTATGCGTCATATACATTACTCTTTGCAGTCGACTATCTGTGGTACAGGTGTGTTTTCAACTAGCCGTATGTCTGCAAGACGGGCTTGTCTTTGTTTGACCTAAATCAAGCGATATCAGATACAAATCAGCCCCGTAGATCAAAGAAATCCCCTTCTTCCCCGGGTTTACAAATTTCAACAAACTCCTCTCTATTCTTATTCTTTCCAACTCACAAATCTTATTCATATACAATTGTGTTACAAGGTACTAATTGGTGCTTTCATCTGGGTTAAACCTCTTCTCCGGAGTCACCTCTCTTGTGTTTTCTCTCCTTTTCTCTCTCTCTCTCTCTCTCTCTCACAAACCAAACAAGATGACTTCGGATGAAAAAGTAAATGTGCTCGTATTGGGCGGCGTTGGTTTCATTGGAAGAAACTTTGTCCATTATCTATCAACAAGCAACCTCGTAGCTGACATCCGAGTTGCTGATAAGATGTTGCCACAAACCGCCTACTTGTCAGAGACATTTAAAACCGAGTTTTCCAAAATAGAATTCAAGCAAACCAATTTGATCAATCAAGGTAATCTTCAAGACGCTTTATACACGCATAAACTCATGAAGCACGTCATGCAGCCTCCATTGCTGCTTGTTTCGATAGAGAGGATGGCAAAGAGTTTGATTATGTGTTTAATTTTGCTGCTGAAACCAAGTATTCTCAGGTGCCTGAAATCTACCAAGAACGCATCTTCAACCTGTCTGTCAATTGCGCCAAAGAAGCAGCAAAGCGAAATGTCAAACTATTCATTGAAATGTCTACTGCAGAAGTATACGACAGCAACCAGGTAAGTTTGTGGCGTCTGGATTGTATGTTTTGCATTCACGGCTGAACCTCTGTGCTTTCAGGAAGCCTCCACAGAGACATCAAAGATCAACCCTTGGACAGTGATTGCCAAACACAAATACAAGGCCGAGGAAGCATTAAAAAAGATTGACGGGTATGTACCGCATCAGTGGGCTGCATGGATCGTTCAAGTGCTGACCGTAGTGTACATGATTAGTTTGAACCTGATTATTCTTCGCCCTGCCGTTGTTTATGGTCCAGGTGCTCTTTTGGGCTTGAGTAAGTTTGTTGTTTGTGTGCATGTGTGAAAGTATGTTTATTTACTGTTTTCTCGTTCGTTTTAATAGCACCACGTTTGATTATCGGCAGAATCTACAAATACCTGGATGAGGAAATGAAATTACTGTGGTCCAAGGACCTAAAGCTGAATACGGTGCATGTGGATGATGTGTCCAGAGCCTGTTGGTATTTGGCACAATGGTACACAGACAACAACATTGGTGCCACTGGTCAAGTGCCTGTTTTCAACCTGGTCGATAAACAGGACACAGATCAAGAAGCCATCAACAAGCACTTACAGACTATTTTTGATATCAAAACAGGCTATCATGGTAGTGTTGTTTCCACTTTTGCCAAGGTAGTAAAAATAACCATGACATGTGTCTATCAATCTATGAATCACATGTCAAAATTGACTGACATGTTTATGTAGCTAAACCTGGACGCTGTTATTGAAGCTGTCAATGAAAAACATTTAGCGCCATGGGCAGAGCTTGTCAAAAACAATGGCATTGCCAACACACCTTTATCGCCTTATCTCGATGAAGAATTATTGTACAATAATGCTCTCTCTGTGGATGGTTCCAAGATTGAACGCGAAACTGGATTTACTTACTCTGTCCCTTATTTGACGCAAGAGAAATTGATTGAGATTATTGATGGTTACAAGGCGTTGCAAGTGTGGCCAAAAGATTAATGCTCTCTCATTTTTTTAAACCTTAGAATTCTTTTCTGCTATTATTATAACCCGCAATTTTGATCGAGTACGACCGAAATTGATGATATCTATACAAATAAAAAAAAAAGCAACTTATCATCCTATTTCTCATCGCGAATATATGATCTTTGTTGACCGAGTTCAAGTGGCTTGAGGCGGGCCATCAGCAGATGTTTTGAGCCTGGGGCGTTTATATAGGGCGATCAAACTTGAAGTGAACAATAGCAGTAGATACTATGATGAATGGCCTATTCCAAATACAATCGAACAGGCGCATCAGCTGGTCGAAACAGAGCAAGTAGAAGGCAACTCGACCTCTCAGCTGGCTTTGTGTCTGCATTTAATGGAAAGCGAATGGCATGCGCATCCCAACAACCGTACCAAGCTACCTGACGACGAGAGATCTATTCACAACAACCGCATACTAAACGACATTATGATAAACTTGTAGCTAGCCACCATCAAAAGCAATGCCAATAGCAGCATCAACACAGCAACAATATCCAGTACGCTAGGTAAAACTACATATGGTTATGGAAGCCAAAACGTTGTTGAAACAAGTCGCATACTTAAATAAAGGCACTGGACAAGGGGCTGAAACAGAGGCACGGTTGTTTGCTGTGAAACGGCTGGCACAAATTTTCTGATTATAACTTTCGGATGCTATACAAGATGACAATAGGACAGATGATGCTTGATGCACTTTTGTTTAGGACCAATCTAGTGATAAAACAAGACTCTCTATGATAAAATCCTTTTACTTGCCATGCGAATCAAACGGTCTCAAATAATTTCGTTGCAAAAGTCTATAAAACAACCACCATGCTCGCTGGCTTTTCTCTGCTTGGTTTACTTTCTCTTTGAATTTCGATTTTGAAATTCGAGCTAGAGCTTTGAAAGCAACATGTTCCTATGACAGTTTTTTGCGTAGAAGATGATGGTGCAATTGGATTTTAGATTGGATGTGGTGATGATGAGAAATAGATGCTTTTGTTTGAAACCCCTGACATACATGATCAATCAGCATGATATACAAGCGATGGAAAAACTATTAAGAGTAATACCATTTGGTGCGCATTTCAATTCTGTACAATTGTACTAAGGAATGGGTACAATGGTTACTTTCGAGAAGGGTATGTTTGAGTGACCAAAAGGCGCAAGTATGCACGGTCAGTGGCATGTCTGTATCGTCCAAAGAGAAATTATACTCGTTGCCTAATCCTAGCACGGATCAATTTGAACAGCATAACCACTCTTAAATTTAGGGATTGGATGGCTTTCTTCCTGCAGCTGGTATAAAAATGATAACAACAGCATTGCATATATAGTAAAATTAAGAACAACTTATGGGCATGTAGATTTCTTTTGAGTACTAGCTCTGTCTGCAGAGAAGAAAGGTATTCAAATGCGGTTCCTGAACGGTCCATCAAGTTAGGGCTATAGATACAAGGATAAAGCAACCACCACATAATGCGATTTGAGGCAATAGGGTGTATTCAAGCTCAAATGAAATCAATGAAAACAAAATGGAATGTTTAACGAGCAAATGTGGGTATATTTTATTAAATTCAAAAAAGGGAGTATATTTAGCAAAAGCCAACTTGCTTGGCAATAGAGGTATAAAGTATTTGATCTGCAACTTCAACATTCACTTTAGTGTTGTTCATTGGTACACCTTTCTGTTGATGACCAATCCAGATCATGCGCTCCACTTGCAAATTCTCAATGATATTAAGGCCGCTATCATTCTCCCAGCCTCCTTCGACATGAATAGAGGGATTTATGTGATTGATTACATGTAGCTTTCCTTGTTCAGAGCTGCACCAAAGCACTTTGCATTCGTCAATCACCAAAGGGTTCAAGAGATTGGCATTTACCAGCAGTTGATGGATTTGATGACGCTCTTCATTAGAATTCATGTGAATAATGACGTATATATCGTAAACCTGAGCCAGTTTGTTTAGCAATGAAACAGTATTCTCGTGAAACGCATGATTTGGACTATTGACATCTCTTGAGGGATTCCAAAGAATCGTCTAATAACAGGTGTGAGTAGGGTGGCAATCATAATTCGCACAAAATGACGTACATTTTTCAAAGAGATGGTAAGCTTCTTCTTTCCTCTAATGTTGGATATGACACCATCCAGCAATCGTGAACTCCAGCTGCCCAAAGGGGATGTAGATCGACTGCTTGTAATGCTTGTAGCAGAAGTTGGAGAAGTAGAAGGCAGAGAAAGTGGAGAAGGAGGGGGTGTAAACAGCTGCAATGTTTGTTTATTCTGTAAGCAATTGCATTGTTTCCCGAGTGCAAATATTTGTTTTACCTGTCTGTTTTGATTAGATAAATTTGTGAAGGTACTGCTCGATCTTTTCATCATCAAAGCATTCTTATTTGTTGTAATATGTAACCTTTTTCTAGGGTTCATATGCAATTGATCTTCATCCAGTGTTACAGTATCTCTCTCATTGGAGGTGCGTTGCTGTTGTTGTTGGTATGCAAGCTGCTTCTTGTACCAGTAAACAACGATGCTCACAATAGCCGTTGCAAATGATGAATATCCCATGATTCTCAGTAGCAGAGTAGGCAGCCATTGCGGGTTGATTTTATTTGATTGATGAACTAGCCTTTGTAACTGAATTGGTCTATTTGAGATGGTAAAAGACATTATTGTTCAAAGAATAAAATAAAGAAGAAAGAGAGAATGGTCGACCTGTAAAGGGGCATATTTATACTTTCACTTGAGTGTTCTTCACATGTTAGTTCGTTTGTTCCCCGCATTTTTTGTCTGTATCACCTCCAAGATATTAATTACCCATCATATGAAGATTTTTGTACCTTCCGTTACCTTAAAATTTAAGCTGAAATAGCAAAATTAGCTTTCATTCATCCAGTTGAAAAATCAGGGGGGGGGGAACTCTTGAATCACTAAATACCAAGGCTCATTAGGTATTCATCATGACGAATAAAGCAAGAAAAGGAGGGGGGGGGGGGGGCGTGGCATTCATGACCCAATCTACACGTACGTGATGTCGTTTGAATGATTGGATGCTAGCTTCATTTCGTTTCCACTGATTTATTCAATTGTTCTCTGTAGCAAGCATCAACGTGGTCTTGTCTGACTGATTTATAAAACTGACCCTGGCGTCCTTTGTGGCCCTACTCATGTTTAATCGAATTTTTCCAGTTTGGTGTAAACCAATTAGTGTAGATGCTGCTGCTTGACGTTGTGAGACCGTTCCTATACGTCGCCTGGAACGGTTCCTGAGCATACTCTTAGAGCCCAAGTGAATACAGATTCCAGCAAGACAAGCAGACTAATGCGTCTGGTAAATCGATGTGTACTAGAGCAATGTTTCTTCTTGGAAAGAAACAGAATTATCTCAACTGTAAGCTGGATATTATGCTCCATCAGGTACGATCATGGGGTTTGGATCTTGTCATCATTATTGTAATTTATTTATATGACTATTGCACAAAAGTACGGTTATTTCTTAGGCGAACTGGGAGAGTTTGGTATTTCAGATGCTTTTTTTACTGCTACTGAAAATGCTGAATGCGGATCCAGCAGTGAAAAGCTTTTTATAGTTCTGTCTGCATTGTGATGAATGTACTCATGACTGATTTTGCTGTGCTGATATTTCTCTGTTGACTTCCAATCATCGATGCTATCATCCACATCCACCAGGATTTCCTGCTTTTTCTTTTGCCTTAGCTTGACTGTGATTAATGCTGCTACAAGCAAGAATATGAACATAAATGTACCTAGTACACATCCAACAATCTTGAGGGTATAATTTAGTGTTTGTATGCGTGATAAGCTCTGCCGTTGCATTTACCACACCAATGCGGTCCGGTGAATTAAAGAAAGTTTCCTGCGGCTTTCGCGGATAATCCGTGTAAAATCCATTGGTTCCAACTACAAAATGTACATTCATGTTACAAATTACAATTAGTGTGCCACAAGACTATAGCTAATACCTGTTGAGTTGACAATGATTGTTGATGGAAGTGTTGAAGACGTTTCTGTTATGTCCATATGTATATTTTTACTAAAGCAGCGTCATGGCAATCATGAGTATCGGAAGCCTCATTTCAGACATGTTCTTCATAGTCACCTCAGGTTGAAAGTGGGCTTAAATGTCAATAGATCAAAAACAGAAGTAAAATCGAGAAGGAAAAAAAAAAAAAAGGAGATAGATTTCAAGACATTTTGCACACATACGTATATATACGCTTGCAATTGTTTGTTTTATTTATTTATTCCATGATTCTTCTTGCTGTAGTGGCTAAGCCATGATGAGTATAAGCCGAATGGTCATGTACGGCATCTTCTTTCTTTGGGAGTCTCTCCACACAATAACAAAACCTTGTTCAGGACAAGGTAATTATGTATACACACAAGGCTGAGACTTCCATAGAAATCCATGCCTGCAGATCAAGGAATGGATACCACGGCAATTGGACAAATCACTGACCAAATGATAAAGTTCCGTCATGAAAGGTGGCGCCTTCTTAGAGTACCTGCTTCCCGTCAGATGAATCGTTTTCATAAATTCAAGGAGGCTGATTCAAAGCTACAGTGCAGAACCGCCGTGATACGTTTCTCGTTGTTTAGAATCTGGCTAAATTTGAACAGCAATAGATAAATCAAATTGAAATTTAATCGTTCAACGCTTTATTCCTGTACAATTCTGAATGAGGCGTCTTTTTTTTTTTTCGAAACTATATACATGCGAAAGGTATAAAATCGCTCAGGCTATTGCGACAGTGCCAATTGAGGGTATCATATGTATTGGCAGAGCTTCTCAGACACTTTTGATAGCAGGCGAAGTTGTATTTGCTCTTTTCGGCGATCGTTTGTGATAGACTTCAGGCAGTGGCAGCTGAGAAACTGAAGCAGTGCGCTTTGTTGGTATTTTTTTGGTATCCTCTACTGGTGCCGTTGTTGTCTCCATTTTGACGTTCTCCCCGGCCTTCTGTATTTTCTGCTGAATCATGTTGACCCAATCGTCTGTATCGCCCAACACCTCATAATCAAACACTTTGTCCCATTCCTTTGTAGGGGCAGTTCGATTAATGAATATCACCTTTCCATTTTTCGACGAATGATGAATCAATTTTGCTGCCTGTTTGATAAACTTCTTCAGAGCAGGGATCTTCAAAGAGGTGCCCATTACAATCATCAGATCTGGCTTCCTTCGCAAATCTGTAGTCTGTAATTTTCCTATAGTTTCGCCCTCTGGATGTTCCTCGTTGTATAATACGATATTGGGTCTCAACGTGCCCATTGCTAGCTGGCGCTTCCCTAACCGTATGCGCTCATTGTCGTAGGTCTCACATTGTGGACAAACAGGTGGATTTCCATTTCTAAACTGATCTTCATAATCAGTTGTGAAATCGTAGGATGCAGCACACAGTGTACATTTGACTCTGTCCATTGATCCATGCAGTCTAACAACAGATAGGTCTATGGGGTCTTCTAAACAGTCTATATTCTGTGTATAGCAGCGCATTAATTTGCCTCTTTCTTGCAGATTCCGGATAAACGAGTGCGTGGCTGTGGGCATCGCTGTTGATATCATTGATTTTAACTCGGCCATAAACGTATAGAAGCATTCGGTTTGTCGCTTGTCTCTAAATAGCATAGCATCAAATAAATCTTGCCCCTTCATCATAGTCTTTGGATGTTTCTTCTTTACTAAATCATAGAGACCATCAGAAGAACGAAAATCCTGTGCTCTTGGTGTTAATATCCTCTACAAAATCCATTGACGTTCTGTTTCTCTTACTGGAATCCCACTACTGCATGATATACCAGCACCTGTGATGACCAAGACTCGCTTGCTGTTGTCGATGCGGGTTGCCAGCTCAGTAATGAGAGGATCAATAACTTCCGTTGGCTCAGAGATGATGATTTTTGTCTTCATGATGGAGTGTGGAGTAAATGAACGATGAGATGTATTTAGGAGAGAAAAGAACAAAAGATAAAAGACATTGATACTCATCCATTACTCCCTCTTCGAAAAAATGTCTCATATAGCACACACCAATGAAAACTACCGTCCTTGTCGTCGATCCGTGTGTGAGCACGCTATGACTGGTGTGGACAAGTTGCATATTCACAAACGTTGTTGATTTAAAGCTCAGTGATTAGAGATGGTTAAGATCACTTGAATGCCTCGAGCCCATACACAATACAACGCACCCAAGGAAGTTTGCTTCATTATTTGGTTACTGGAACAACTCTCTGAATTTGACTTGCGCGTCCAAAAATACCTATAGCACTTAGGTTAGAGTTGTCGGATCTCCATGAAATGCACACTGCCGTATGACAGTAGGAAGCTTCGGAAGAACATCCACATACAAAAAGGTATTAGATAAAAATGCAGGAACGTAATATCCTTTAGGTACATTTGTCATCAATTTTGGGATTTCTTCACGACACGGATGCACATTTGCTCTGCCTATAACTCATTAACCGTTTGCATGTCCAGATGAGAGTACCTATTGCAGCAGTAGAAGCACATTACAATTCAGGGCATCTTATTCGTGGCACAAATTCCTAGAATACAGTGCTTCAGCTATTCGCTTGTATAATAGAAAGTATTAAAGAATTATTCAATAGTTGACGCATTCTTTTTATATATATATATATATATATATATATATAGAAATCGCTCAATTTTAACCATGCTTGACAATACAAATCCCCTGAATGCCTAAAGTTAAGCCAACAGCACCATAAGAGGTACGAATGCGTTGTTATCCAGCGGTGCAAGAGATGCGACCACATTGAATTGTTGCAAACGTCTGGCTGAGCAAGCAAATCATCTCTAAATTATATTGAAAATGGGTTGGATTCCCATGTAACAACGCTATACATCTGTAATCAATGATTCCATCGAACAGTGATAGGTATGCAGTGCTTCAGCATATACTGTACTTTGCTACTAATCTAAAGGCCCTTAACTCAAAAGAGTGCCTGTTAAAACTTGTTGAGACAAGAAGCCCAAAGCATCCAACTTTAATCGCCTTTACAGCGTGGGTCAATGGTTCTCAGTCTCGAGAAAACGTTTATTAAAGTCAAAGACGTACAATGATTGAGCAAATGAAGCTTTTTTCATGTACATCCTGTACCGAAATGAACATCCAGAGCAAAGCATGGATTTCGGCAGTTTCGTCCTATAGTGCCATATCGCTTTTCACAATGTCACCACAAGAACCATGGCAGTGTGTTGGCTGTCAATTTGAGGTATCACCGATGAGACGGAATAAACAAGTATGCATTCACATGCTGTAAATGTCAAGAAAATGGTGCCTTGATACAAGCTTGTTTGTAAGAAATCAAAACCCGACTCACATTATGAGAATTTTGGTAAAATGTCATAGGAGACATGTTAAAGGATAGCAAGAAAAAAAAAGGAGAAGCTCCAGTGGAAATGCCTTGGTTCGCTCGTCTATTACTAATTTTAAAGGTTTCTATACTCTTTCACAAAGCCGTTTGGGTAACACGAAGGGTAGACGAGAGAGAAAAAAAAAAAACCAGCAAAAATTTTTTCTATTTTATAGGGGATGTGGCCACCATCACACTTATACACCCCCCGCAAAAGCATATATTTTTATTATTTTCTACCAGTTTCCTCTCTCTTCTTTCTTTCCTTGCCTTTTTCTCTCACCTAGTCTTTTCTTCCTGCCTAAATTACACATCGTATTCAAGACAGAAGAACAGACATTTACTATTGATTACTGTTTTTCATCTGCTGTTACATCCAAAGACAGCGCAGAAATTCCACATAAACAAGCAATTCCACTTTATTTTCTACCTCACAACCACTTTATATACTCACAACTTAGCTATTGCAAGAAGTTGAAACACTGAAAAATGACAAGCATTGCTAATCAGTTAAGAACCAAGCAAGGTGCGATCATCGGTGCTGGTGTTGTTATTGTGATTACTGCCTTCACAATTTGGAGTTGGAAATCTTCTTCTTCCACCACTGCCCCACCAAATAGCAAAGATGGTAAGTTTTATATTTGCTATCTCATGTAGAGCAAAATTAAGGGGCGAAAAGCGAGATTGGGAGGCAAGCTTGTTTAAGCATGCTAGTTGGTATCACTCTTGGCAGGAAATACCATAGGAAAAAGGACCCGCTACTCATGAACGCGTATACTAAATTTTTTTGATCTCTTATTTTATCTAGCTAAAGCTTCAGATGAGCGATCTGTCAAAAACAAAAAAGACACCAAAGAAGAATCTGCAGCCAACAAGGCAAACGACATGGTTACCAAACAGTCACAAATCAAGAAGGATAACGTTAATGAAGCATCCATCATCATCGAGGAAGAAGGTAAATTTGCATGTGAAAAGAATAGAAGAAGGGATTGGTATTAAGCAGCCGGTATAGTTGTTACAGTGGAGAAAGTTGAGGATACACTCTTAGAGGAAAAGAATGAGGAATCAGAGCAAAAGGAAGAGAAGGTCGTTGTTACCACTACAGAAACCGTTACTGAAATTATCGACAACCATGGTGATGAAATCTCCAGCGCCAAGAGCCATACTTTATCGGCAGCTACGAGCAGTGCTGATGAAACCGATATTTGCACCCCTGAACATGAAGCCAACACTGTTGCTGATGTCAAGCATCACGAATCCACCGCCACTGATGAAGTCGATACCCAACATAATACAAGCTATTTATCAGAAGACAAGAATCAAGATGTTGCTGAAAAGGTCAAGTTTGACTGGACTGAGGAATCTGTCAAAGCAGCTCTGCCTCCTATGAATCGTGATATTGTTACTGTCTCTACTGTATCCCTTGACACTGCCGAAAGTATTGTCACTGAAACGCATCATGAAGAGTTTGTTGTTGTTGGCCATCCCATTGATAAGGACCCTGTCAAGGAGCAAGACATTGTCGCTTCTGCTGCTACCACTACCACTTCTACCGACGAAGAGCCCGCTTTATCCGAAAAGGTCCAAGTTTCCTCTTCATCTTCATCCACATCATCCGAAAAGTCACCACCAGTTTCACTCTCAAGCTCATTAACCGCTGATGCTCCCGAGTTTGTCCCTAAGTCACTTCAACAACCCACCAAGAAGCCTACAAAGAAATTCTTGACCCGCGAGCAGTTGATCGAACAACAAAGACAGCACCACATGCCTAGATCAAAAGCAAGATGCAGCCATTGGCCCCATTGCACCAACAACAATTGTAAATTCTTCCACCCTTACAGGGCCTGTCGGTAAGTGTTCGATATTTTTAATGGGATTTCAAAACCTTTTACTGATGCAAAATATAGAGCTGGAGATGATTGCTTGTTTGGCGATAGATGCATGTTTGTTCATCCCAATGATTGTATAGTGAATATTCGAGAGAATAAGAATGCCGCTACTTCTACCTCTATCCATGAGTAAAATTTCACATTTCTACACCTTACATACAGACAAACAAAAAAAAAACAAAAAAAAACACACAATTGTATATCTTTGCTTTTGCTATTTCTCTTCCTCTTTCTTCTATATCTCTTTTACCTTCTCCCTTTTACAAATTACCCCTCCCTTTCTGTCTTATCTTTTTTCTTTATTTTTAATTATTGTATATTTCGAAATCATGTCAAGATCAATAAAAATTCAAGAAAAAGTAAGGGATGTATGGTATTTGTTCTTGTGGAGACTACTGCTCAAAGCTGCCCATACTATACTTTGGATGAGAAAATTCATGATGGCGCTAGACATGGTCAAGAAAAGCCTCAACTGATCCGACTAATTGCAAGTGCATTTGCATTTGCAGCAGGATTTTTATCATTTCAAGATCTGCTAGTACCTGTTGCCGCGTATATACGGCTCTTTATCTCTAACATATATACTGGAAAACCTAAAAAAAAAAAAAAATCCCAAGAACATAACCCATCTAATTCAATACTTGGTATCATTAACCTATAAGTGGGGTTTACCGTAGCAAAGGGAAGGTGCAAGACTATAGTGTTTAGGCAGCAACTTTGGCAACTTTTATTAATAACCTTGCCAACAACATAAGGCATCAAAATCTGCATGAAATAGCGTTACCAAAAACAAGATGCCTTCTATTTGAATTATTGCGCAGGCCGCAGAATTGCCCTTCCTGAAGATTTCAGCTTCCAACAAAGATGTAATTCATGCAGTGTAAATAAAAGCTATTATAAAGCCAAATTTGACAGCTTTCAAGCCTCCATATCTTAACATGTAGACCTTTCTGAACCACCGGAATGGCGCCAAACAATTGTACTCGAGTAGTAGTAGCTTCCTGATACCTTTGCTCAATTTTTTGGGGTCAAAAAAAAAATGGACAAAAATCGACTAAAAAGCATGAGGGGTACCTCATGGTTTTCATCGAAAATCAAATGATCGCGTTTTAGACCTTGAAAATGAAGACTTTTGCTATGGTATATCTTGAATCAAAATGTTTCTCTCGATTCAAAGCAACTTCTGAAACCACTTAAATGAGGTTTTCATATGCAAAATTTCGACTTTTTGGCCAGAAACCTCTTTTCATATTTTCATAAATTACTCAATAAGTTTATTCAAAACATCTATGTTACTTGGTGCCATTGGATGCGCCTTGAAAAGCACCCCAGAAAAGCTTAAAGAAGCTTAGGATTATTATCATATTTTACTTAGTCGAATCTGCAAAAATAGTTCGATCGAGTCGAAGTTTATTAAAATATAGCCAATCTGGAGCAGACTGTGGATCTGGATTTGAATTAATTCTGGATGGTGGGGCTGGCTGGCAAACTCAATGCCCTTTTCATCATGAAGGCAATACAGTAATAGATATTTTGAAGCACATAGAAAGTAAGTGAAAATTACATAGCTCTATTGCTAGCCTTGCTATTTAATAACGCCAGTATATTAAAATGCTTGTCAGATCAACTTCTTTCCTTTTTGAGGCTTTGAAAGTGTCTAGGGACTGAACATTTATAATGTTATGATTTGGATTGTGTTTGGCGAAAGCCCGTAAGGCAACACCGTTATAGAACGTAACGAGATCAATCGGCTAGTGGTAGTGATACTATACTACAATAAATATTGACAAAAGAGACGGTTGAATTATGTTTAATAAGTTCAACACAAAAGCACAGCTATATATTTATTGCGGACGTCTGGATGTAATGTTTACCACACAGTAAAGGCTAGAAGTTAACAAATAATCTCAAATTTGGATTTGATAGTAACAGTGCTACACAGATGCGCCAAGAACACATGAAAATCACTACCATTGTCCACTGTTAATCATGCTGAAATGCCAATTTTCTGCCATATCCCAGCTAAATATTTGATATTTCAGATCTGATTTACGCACGCTACAAGCTTTCAATTGAGCTCTAAACACCTTTCATCAACACCCGAGATCTGGCAGTTTGTTCGTGGTGCCCATTTGAAAAAAAAAAATTGGGTCACAAATTTTCGACTCAAAACCATGAGGTACCCCTCATGGAAACTTGATGTTTCACAATAATCGACTTTTTAAGCCGAAGAATGCAATATTTTACAAAGGCATATCTTAGTTGAAAATGCTCGTAAAAGCTTGAATTTTTACCCAATATAATTTTTTGCTTTACGCAAGTATCATTTTCTTGACATTTTTGGACATTTAGTCATTTTTGATTTTCGCGGTTGAGGCAATAGTTTGTCAGTCAAAGTATAGCAAAATGTACATGGTTAGATAAAGTGTAGAAAATAGAGTATATCCTACTTAATCCTAGTAACAAGTTCTCATAACAAAAAGGGCTCGTAAATTCACGAAATAGGAAAAAAAAGTTTTGGAAAACGTTGAATTGGATAGAATTTGGAGCTCTGCAAAAATTAGATTTAAAGCGCCGACATGGGCAAGGTTTTGGTTGCCCATGCTGATTTTGATGCTTAGAGATGCTCTTTTCGCAACAAGATGTATGGTGATCGACACGATAGAGCAAACCTCATAGTGATCTGCATAATCTGTGTGGTATTGATTATATCTTGGTACTGAAAACAATGGATAGTCTAACAGGAATGACGGAGTGACAACCCAAATGTTGATTCATTTGATTAAAGGAGGACATAAAAAACCTGTTGCTGTATATTTTTTCTTTTTACAATACTACTGTACCTTACACTAATTCAACGCAACCAACAACATGAAACCGCCCGAGCATCCAGGCCAACCCAAGTGGCAAAACTTTAAAGAATGGAACACACTGAAGAAACCAAGCAGTTTTCAAGTCATAAAAACTGCCCAAGAGACCCATGAGGAACTATTAGCAAGATTTGGATTACAAGAAGGCAATGGTAGTGGTTGGGGAGATGCTTCCGATGCACAAGATGCTGGCTGGGGTAGTCCTAACACGATTGATGGGCAAGGAGGAGGATGGAATTGAAAGCATATTTAGTGATATTTTCAATCTTGCAAATACACGGAAATCGTTATTTCGGCCACAATCTTAGAACCATAGAAGCGTTTATTTTTCAATTGGCATTTGTAGGAGGATTTTTCGCCGTGTTTAGTATGGAGATTATGTTGTATATGTGGGGTTCAAGAAAAAGGGAGATGAAGATCTTGTCAAATCAACTTTTTTTCTGATTGAACGTGTGTATATGTGAGAGTGTAAGTGTAGGTGCAACCTTTCTTGTTGATCTATTTGAAGGAGATATTACCGAGCAAACGATTGCGCACATTGCCTGTGCAATTCTGTGCAGATCATTTAATTGTCATTTATATACTTTCTCGATATAGTGACACAATAGCGGGTGATCTTTTTGTTTAAACACGTTCCAACAGCTGAACGTTGTGGCGTTTCACGGATCCATTGTGGAAGATTATGCAATCATGAGCAAAGGTGCATTCATCTGTCTTAAATGCAAGCTGACCTTTTTGCTCGTCCATCTTTTAAATAGGCCTTGCTGCCCTGAGCTGGTGTGCGTATACACATGCAAATTGCCACCTTGTGGATGATCATCGATTTTAGGTGAGAATTTTATTGTTCGTTTTCAAATTGATTTGATGATACATGCGAGTAATTTCATACAATCAAAGTTTTTGTATATAAGTAGCGTGTATGTTACATGGATCGAGGAAAAATGTATAAGTTAGTATAAGTTATCATGTATAAATATAGATCAATAAGGATTAATTTTCATAGGGTATATCAAGTTGTGATTACTGTATTTGTTGTTTTTATTGTTGTAGTACATATCAGTTGTGGTTGGCGTAACAATGAAATCCTCCATGGAGGAAAGTGACGACGAGGAAGATGAGGTGGATATATTCAATCGTTTCCTATTGTTGCCTTTTCGCGCATTGGTTGTGGCAGTGGTGTTGGAATGGCGGTAATATTGCTGTTGCTGTTGCTGGTGTATGATATTGGATAATACAGGCTGGCAACAATAGTTGGTATTGAATGATGCAGATTTAGGGATATATGATCTGTCATGGTGCGGTACAATAGGAGGTAGCTGAAGCCCAACTGTGTTGTCGTAGGTGATGAAGGAATAGTACATGTCCTTTTCAGATATGATGAGCTGGTAATTCTAAGCAGTATGCTTTAGTACATCCAAATTGTTCCTACATAGTGTAAAAGAGAAACGTACCATCAATGCCAGCAACTGCTTCTCCATCAAATTGATCTCTGGCAAGGTAAAGTAAACAGCATACTTGGTCCAATGCTTGTTCTTTGGCGATGTGTCATGTAATATCTTTGTTGTGACAATCAACGTAGCTAGAAAGATGCGTTGACAAGTGCATGGCATCCCCCTTGCGAATTGAGCAAGTCGTTGTCGTAATCTGTCTAATAGAACGAGAGAGGCCAGCAATGTGCCCGTACGAGCACAGGATCTTTTTGCCAGCAAGTTGACAAACGTAGGTAATGGAGGTATAGGACTTTTATAATTCTCGTGTAGATGGTGGCAGGGAATCACGAGAGACGCTTGATGCGATATGTGTGCCAGCAAATGGTTACTTGCTGGGCGATCAATTAGGTATTTCATTCTACGATCAATGTCATTGTAACTGGTATTGGGATTCATGCTGGAAAAAAAAAACAAAAGTGTATAGTAGAGAGGAGATATATATATATATATATATATCTATATGTATCTATTCGAAAGAGAAGAAAGAGTAAAAAGAAAGGAAAACAACCAAGGGATATTATATAAACTTACAGTTTTCGTATATATAGGGAGGCAAGTAAAGAAGGAGGGAATAGTGAGAGTAAAGTGAGAGAGGGAGAGGGGGTGCGTGTGTATGTGTGTGTGGGGGGGAGAAATGACAATAATAACAACAACAACAATAACAACAACAATCCATTATTATTATTTAGATAATTTCAAGCCTTTTTTCCAATACGTGATGATGATGGTGATCATTTCAATATAGCGCTTTATGTACATACAGGGAAAAAGAGAAAAAGAGGTCTGAAGAAAGAGAAATCAAAAGAGAGCCTGTTCGTTTCAGTCGTCATTCAAATCTCTTTTTTTATTCTTTTTCGCCCATCGAAGACCACATGCGTTACATAACCTAGGTCAACAAAGTTAGAATAATTTCCGTCTAGCAATTCATAAAGATCCCACTTACGTTTTCGGTCCATGTGGCCCTTTACGCCATTCTGGAGATGAAGTTGTACCACAGTCAGAGCAGACATATTCATCGGTTCCTTTGTGCTTCTTCTATTGACATGAAATCACATTGAGAATGACATGTGCTGAAATCCATGTTCATCTTACTTACGCGACGCTTCCATTTATCTTTTCGTTCAGCAGAATCTTGATGTGGCAATGACATGCCGCCCTTGTTGGCATTGTTCTGTGTTTGTTGCTGACCATCCTTATAACCCATGAATTCATCTATATCAGAATTGTGCCCGTCCATCCAATCATCGTTAGTATCCATTGCTTCGTCCTGCTGTTGCGTTGTAGATGGTGGCGGTAGCTGCTGTAAATTGGAGGAAAAAGAGGATGGAGACACTGTGCTATTGTTGTCCACTCTACCGTATTTCGCAGACAGTTCATCAATTCTCTTCTTCAGCCAGTTGTTCTCTGCTTTCAGCTCTAAAAATGTATCAATCAAGGCACCGCTTTTGGTGGGTATAGGCTGAGCAATGCCAAAAAACGACCGAGGTGGCTGTCCAGGTACATCAGCTTTTGGCTGGCCCACCACTTCGAATATAATGTAGCTTTCGTCCTTCTTGCGAAATCGATAATGTGTCTTGATTTGAGATCGAGTGTGAAATGACGTTTGAAAGTCTCGAATAAACACATCCATGTCGTCAATGTGCAAGAAATCCATCAGCGCTTGTCCCACAAGCTCATGCGGACGGTAGCCTGTGAGTTCGTGCGTTGATTCAGAGCAGTACAGTATCTTTCCTGTAGGCGACAGTACATGCAACAAACCTGTGATTTCAACGAGAATGCGCTCTGACCAGTTCTTTCGTCTTCTGAAATCAGTACCGCCTTTGACGGCAAGTGCATTGCTAGCATTGTCAGTGGCTGGAGATGATTGTGTAGGATTTGATGAGCTCGCTTCGCCTCTCTCAATAGTGCCATTATCAAATATTGCTGGTGCTGCTGCTGCTGCTGTGGATGCGGAAGACGTTGGCCCTGGAAAAGCCGTGTTGCTGTTGGTATTGCTGTTACTAAAGTAGGCGTCTCGAGGCTGTTGTTGTTGCTGCTGCTGCGCTGATAGGGAACTGGCGTTTACATCTAGCAAGTAACTGTAATATTCAGGCTGTTGTTGCATTGGAACTCTGCTGCGAGAAGGGCGAAAAGAGAGTCAAGGAGAGAGAAGAGCAAAAGAATAAAAAAAAAAAACTGAGAATAGCAAAATAAATACTGTAGAGCTCTGGGGCTGTCCATTCGTTTATTGGTTCGATCCTTTCTACATTTAATCGATCCTTTCGATTTTTTAATCAGACATGGATGGCGTCTTGCTCTTCCTGTTCGCTACGAGTGTCGTCTTGGGCCAATAGCTGTTCCTGGCCACTGTCGCTGTGCGTCAACGGGTCTTCCTGTAGGTGATAAGCGTCGTCTAGGTCGTCTGTATTGTACCCTTGCACAGTGTTGAGCAGCGGCGTGCAGACATGTCTGTATTGCAGTGTATTGGTCTTGATCAGTCTCGATAGCTGATCTGTTATCCGCTTTTTTTCCACTTCATTCTAAACAACGAACAGTTATTGCGGTATTCAATCTAGCCAAAATAGACGGATATTACCAAGAAGTTGACATGAAGCACATGCACATTGAATATGGATGCCAGCATTTCCTGTACTCGTTCCACCTCAAATTGCCATTTACCACGTTTATCCACTGTTTGGGTTAGTCATTTCGCCCCGGTGTGTCTAGCCATCGAACCTACTTTTTGTCACTACAACAGCCATCTTGTTGGTAAGAAAGCGATCCTGCATGCAGTGTAGCGATTGATCCAGCAATGTCAGACTGTATGATTGAGTCATGTCTACTGTCACCACTACATAATCCATACGAGCAAGCGGCTTCTTTGGTATAGATTCAGCTGTAAAACTAGATGCTCTGTCAATGGCTTGCAGATCAAATGTGTGATGCTTGATACGTACACTTTGTAAAAGACATCTGTGCTCTTTAATAATTGTGTTGCCAAGGTTCGTTTGCCAGAGAGAGCAGGTCCAATCAACTAGAGGAGAATGCTGTTAATGTCGTGTGTTGAGCGATATTGTGGGTGGTTTACCAAGACATTGAATGGTCTGCGGGTATATTGGGGTTTAAGCATGGTGACTGAATGGAATAAATGCATCCATTAGAAGAGTATGCTTCGACAGATGAACCCAATCAATGTGACCATGTTTCCTTGTAATCCTTTCTCTCAAACCGCACTCACGGAAAGAGATTTTCCAAGGTAGAAGTAGCGCGCGCGCGCTTCCAACAAATCCTCCCCCCCTTTTTCAAATTGGATACTACTTGGTCTGGCAATTTTATTTTATTTTTCAACTGTAAATAAGCGGGTAAGAAAGAGATGTCTCTAGGATTTAGGATGCCTCGTCTCACCTTGTTTGATAGACATTGGAAATAGTTTTTCATTAGATACAAACTCTCCGATTATGAACAACAATAGTAATTCGCCTTCCACATCCAATGCTGCTCCAGCTTCTGCTGCTGCTGCTTCTCCTGCTGCAGCAACAGCGAGCAACGTCGCTTCTGATTTAACATTAAACTCATTGACAAAAGAGAAATTAAACATTGTGCTTCAAGTGAGTAGTTTATCAAAATGGCTTGAGCTGTGCACTCATCATACCCTTGATAGAGAGCAAAACAACTCCAAGCAGCAGGCGAGCAAGAAGATGGCAAAAACGAGTTTTCTCAATTGATGAATCTATTGCGTTTGCTTCAGCAACAACAAAGCCAAGCATTACAGCAGCAACTCCAAGCCAAATTACAGCAGCAACAGCAGCAACAGCAGCAGCAGCAGCAGCAAGCATCCACCTCTACGCCACCTCCTGCTGCTAATGCTGCGATTCCAGCTGCTACTATTGCTAATGCAAACATGACCAACCGTCAATTGACACCTGCCGAGCTCCAACAACAACAGCAATTGCAAATTCAATTATTACAGCAGCATTTACTGCAACAGCAAATAGCAAACAACGGTGGCACTCCTTCTCCATCTGGATCAACTCCCTCCACACCCAATGGGGCCAACAACAACTTGCAGTATCAAATGCTTGCTTACAATCTCTTATCCCAAAATTTAGCATCCAATCAATCCAGTGCAGCCAGTTCTCCTGCTACAACTGCTGCTACAGTGCCCAACACGGCTAGTCCTGTCACTATTCAACCACAACCAGTTACTGCCATGCCAGCACAGCCCATCAAAGCAGAGCCACAACCAGCACCAACACAGCCAGCACAACCTGTTGTGGAAGAAGTACCTAAAACCATGGCAGAACGACTTGTAGAAGCCATTTATTTGCAGGCCAACGAACTCAACGCACTTCGACAAAAGGTGAACAATGCCTCTGTTGTGCCCGTATTTCCTCCGCCTATTGTCGTTGCCAAGGGAGGAGACACTGGCATTCTCACAGCATTTGATTTGCTATCAGGCCAACAACGCTCTCACGCACACGCATCTCGACAGCAACGATTGCTTTTACCAGACACAGCACCACAGGGCCTCAGTCCCTCTGTCATTTTACAAGAGCGAGAGAAGCGCATAGAACAACGAGCCGAGCAAAAGCTGATTGATCTGGAGGCCATGATGGACGAAGATAAGGATCAGCGAGGACAACCTTTAGGCTATTTGTTGAACGAATACTACGATGATACAGTGAGAACTGCTTCACCAGAACGATTGCAGTCGATTGTACAGCTCAAATCATTGCAGTTGCGAGATAAGCAGCAAAAACTACGCGAGGAAATTGTAAAGAACATGGAAGAAGCCAATCGTCTGGCTAATTCAGTGGATCGTACGGCGTATCGTAAAATCATGAAGCAGACGTTGCGTGAAGCGAGATTGACCGAGAAACTGGAAAAGCAACAACGCATTGATCGAGAAAAGAAGGAAAAGCAGCGTCATTTAGACTACTTGCAAAGTGTGTGTAATCAAGGCCGCGATCTGATTGCCTGGCACAAATCGCACCAGGCCAAGATGGGAAAATTGGGCAAGGCCATTTTGCAGTTCCATGCGCATATTGACAAGGAGGAACAGCGACGCTCGGATAAGCGATCCAAGGACCGTATCAGAGCTTTGCGAAACGATGATGAGGAAGCCTACATGAAGCTGATTGATGAAGCCAAGGATACGCGTTTGACCTTGCTATTGAAACAAACTGGCACGTATCTCGAGTCGTTGACCAAGGCTGTGGTGGATCAACAGACGGAAAACATGAATTTCGAGGCAGACGAGAATGAGGAAGAAGTAGACGAAGAGATGATCCTGACTGATAGTCATGGCAACAAGGTGGACTACTTTAGAATGGCACATCGTATCCAAGAAACTGTGTCTCAGCCTAGTATTATGACAGGCGGTACACTCAAAGAGTATCAGGTAACACATTGTGCACTAGTAGCCCTGAGGCCGATGTACTGAATTATGCTTGTTTGTAGATCAAGGGCTTGCAATGGATGGTGTCCCTCTACAACAACAGGCTGAACGGTATCTTGGCTGATGAAATGGGTCTGGGTAAGACCATTCAAACCATCAGTCTTGTCACCTACTTGATCGAGAAGAAGCAGCAGAATGGCCCCTATTTGATCATTGTGCCCTTATCCACACTTACCAACTGGTCTCTTGAATTTGAAAAGTGGGCGCCTTCTGTCTCCATGATTTGCTACAAGGGAACTCCTGATATCCGTAAAAACATTCAAAAGAAGCAGATCAGACACAGAGACTTCCAAGTGCTGCTGACGACATTTGACTATATCATCAAGGACAGACCTGTGTTATCCAAGATCAAGTGGCAATACATGATCATTGATGAAGGCCATCGTCTCAAGAACACACAGTCCAAGCTAAACATGGTGCTGCGTCAGTACTATTATGCTCGTTATCGTTTGATTCTGACTGGTACTCCTCTTCAGGTACGATGCCAACACTCTCTGCTTGTAGCGTATATGTAGACACTAACATGGACATGTAGAACAACTTGCCTGAACTATGGGCTCTGCTCAATTTCACACTGCCCAAGATTTTCAACTCGGTCAAATCGTTCGAGGAGTGGTTCAACACGCCGTTTTCCAACCAGGGTGTTCAGGACAAGGTGGAGTTGAACGAAGAGGAGCAGCTATTGATTATCAAACGTCTACACAAGGTATTGAGACCCTTCTTGCTGAGACGTTTAAAGAAAGACGTGGAATCAGAACTGCCAGACAAGGTGGAAACAGTGATCAAGTGTAAATTATCTGCATTACAAGCAAGGCTGTATTCTCAAATGAAGAAATATGGTGTGCTGTTTGGCAGTAATTCAAATAATGGGTAATTGATTCTTGTTCAAATCAAGGAGGCTTTGATTATACTCACGAAATTTGCAGAAAAACTAGCATCAAGGGCTTGAACAATGCAATCATGCAATTGCGAAAGATATGTAACCATCCCTTTGTGTTTGAGGAGGTGGAGCGAGTGATTAATCCCTACAAGGCCAGTAATGAGCTTCTGTATCGAGTGTCTGGAAAGTTTGATTTGCTGGACCGCATCTTGCCCAAACTGCGAGCCACAGGACATCGGGTAAGTTGGCTGTGCTTTCAAATGTGTATCTGTGAGCGAAACTAACTCCAAGCCAGGTCCTCATCTTTTTCCAAATGACCCAAATTATGGACATTATGGAGGATTTCTGTATATACCGAGGCTATCGCCACTTGCGTCTTGATGGCTCCACCAAATCTGATGACCGATCCAATTTACTACAAGTATTCAATGCCCCTGATTCACCCTATTTCATGTTCTTGCTCAGTACAAGAGCAGGCGGCCTAGGTCTCAATTTACAGACAGCTGATACTGTCATTATCTTTGATTCAGATTGGTAAATAGAAAGAAACATATGCTCGAGTCATTTCTAATTATATGTCTTGTAGGAATCCCCATCAAGATCTTCAGGCCCAAGATCGTGCTCATCGTATCGGCCAAACCAAGGAGGTGCGCATTTTTAGATTGATTACAGAGGATTCCGTAGAGGAAAACATTTTGGCCCGTGCTCAGTACAAGCTGGACATTGACGGCAAGGTCATTCAGGCTGGTAAATTTGATCACCGTAGTACAGAAGAGGATCGTGAGGCCTTTTTGAGATCCTTGTTGGAAGATAAGGGCGGTTCATCAGACGAACCCAATGAAGCCGAAGAGGAAAGCGACGAGCTGGATGATGAAGAGCTTAATACGATTTTAAAACGTTCTGATCAAGAATTTGCTATATTCACAAAAATGGACCTGGAGAGACAGCGAGTGGATGCAGAGGAATGGCGTCGCAAGTACGGTGATAATGGCAAGAAGCCTGAACGACTGATTCAAGATTGGGAGTTGCCTGATATCTACCGCTATGACCAAATGGCTGAGCACACAAAGAAGCAAGAGACATCTATCATGGGCAGAGGCCAGCGCTCCAGAGACAGTGTGCGTTACGATGACGGTATGACTGAAAAACAATGGCTGCGACAATTCGAAGACAAAAATGAGGCTTCCTTGTCATCTGTGGATTCAGATGATAGGGCCGCTAAGCGAACTAAATTTAACAATTAACACAAACACACACCGATACAGTTACTATTAATACAATAAACTATGCCAAAGGAATGCCCACTTTCACAATAGGGCTAATTATCCTAAAGACATTTCTGACAATTTCATGAAGATTGCCTGTGCCAACAAATATATTATATGCATGTTTCATTCGATACAGGGCTGATAAATAGTACAGCCGGAAGAGAAGATTGTGTGAGCTCTCGATGGAGACATAGGATGACACATGGTATCCCATTCTACGGGATTATATAGTGCTAAATATATATATATTTATCTGTCTTCATCATGCTATTAACTGTGATAATACAAGTATATAGTAGTCAGGGCTAAACATTCTTCAATAACGTGCCCCACAGCACCAAATTCTAGTGGCTGAAATCACGATAAACACAGTTAAATCTAATATGTCAACTGTAAATGAACAAGCAAGTTTAGATACCACTTGACTCTTTCGTTACTTAGATGAGCACTAGGCTGGTGCAACATCCATTCCAAAGTCCAGAGGGCACGTGTGAATTATGCTTCAAGCAAACAGGCTTTGTAACACAACAAAAAGAAACTCTGAAGCGAGAACATCTTGTGAACAACCATCCAATCAGACTTATTTTAAAAGTTCATGATGTAGGTTGATTGGCCTCTTCTTAATTTAAAGAGCATAGCCCCTTAAATAAACCGTTTAGACAAATCCATGGAAAAGGTAAAATAAAGAGCAAGAGCCTTTTTTTTTTCGATGGACCTTGTAGATATATAAATCCTCCCTCTTTTTCTCCGTTTCTTTCTTCTTTTCTTCTTCACACTTTCTTTATCTCTTATCTCCACTATTTCATGATTTAAAACGATGCAAGATCTATTCGATACACCTCCACCATATCAAGAACAAGCCGATGGCATCTACTTGCCTGACATGGATTTGAGTGCCTGGCCGTCAAGCTACTACGGGAGAACTCGTAGAATTGATTTGGCCAAATTTTATCATGACATTTTAAAAGCAAGTGGTCCTGCTGCCGCTGCATCAATCCAAGATCATCAGCGCATTAATCGCAGTAGTAGCAGTAGTAGCAACAGTAGCAGTAGTGATACTGATACATCCGATGCAGACACCAACAGCCTATTACAACAATTCGATCAGTGGGATCACATCAGCCATGGACTTTCGACTATGCCCAAAAAGCAAGTGAGATTTACATCAGACCCACCACAGGTCTTTGAATACGAGCCCGAGTATCCTCTGCCGCAGATCCACAAGGACCACTCTTTATTCGATGATGGATGGCCTGGAAGAACCAAAACGGCCATGAAATCATCTGGATTCATCGACTTCAAGTCCAAGATTGAAGCTAAATTAGGCGCAATTAACGATCCTTCACTAATATCACAACTGGATTCGAGTAACGCAAACGTGGATGAGAGCACATTGCTTTACAACCAGGAGAATTCACCTCTCTACCGTGGATACTACCGAAATCGCAAGAGTCCTCTTGTCAAAAAGCTAAATCTCCGGCCTATTCCTAATGAACCAACTTTGGTGCTGGATACATCTCCCTCTTCTTCGAATTCGTACATGGACTCACCAGCAACTCCAAAAGATGGCCATCATTTACCGACGCCTGCCATGGGTGAATCTATTTCAACTGCATCATCATCCAATGCCTCTGTATCCAACCGCTGGCTGAAAACATTGTCTCGCATCAGAAATAGCTCTAAATAATTTAATAATAGTATATCAAACACCACATGTACATAGTAATTTTATCATTTACCCTTCCTCCTTCTACCCCCCATTTCCTATATCATGAATTAAAAGAGAAAAAAACTTCGCTCTCCAAGCCAATCATGTCTGTCTTGATCAAAAAAGGTTGTTGTTGTGTTGTTGTCCAAATGAGGAAAGGAAATTGCAAATATATCAACTCGAGATGCTATGTTGTAGTCATGTATTGCCCTTTTTTTCATTTCTTTCTATTATCTCTGTTACCATGGCAACCATGGATCACCATTCTCCCTCACAATCCACTGCCAGTGCAAGTAGTAGTAGCAGTCATAGCCCTCCTTGTTCACCTAATCCCTCTCATCCATATCAACAACAGCAACAGCAACCACAGCATCGATTGTTGAACAGAATGTCTACCTTATTTGGTGGTGGCAAAAAGAAGACTACTACAAACAACGGCGTTGCTTCGTCTTCCTCTGCTGTTCCTGTCACAGTCGAGAATGATCGTGATAATGACACTCTTGTGGCGTCTCAAGTGGATTCCATGTTCAATGAGGACAGAAATGCATCTTGTGTGGATTCAATGTACTCTTCCATCCGATCTCGCCGTTCCAACTATCCGCCTGTACCAAATCCAGATACACCTGCTCCACTGAGAACTGTGCAACTGGATAATCCAATTGTGCATTTGCCTACTCCACCTCCACAGCAACAACAGGATGAGTCTCCGTTCAAACCAAACACAAGCGCCTCCTCCTCATCGTCTTCTTCTTCTATACCCCACACACCGTCTCCTCCTCCTCCTCCTACAACTGCAAGCAACTCCACACCCATAGTAGAACAAAGAAAATCAACACCACCCAATGCCTCTTCTCAAAAGATCGAGGATGTTGAAGCACAGTTCCGCTTGCTATTGGTAAGTAAAAAAACAGCATATGACAATGAAATCTACTTGACATTCAACGCATGTTACTTTAGAGAGAATATGCTCCCTCAGCAGACCATATGAGTAGCGTCAACAATCTTACCTTTGAGCAAAAAGAAATGCTACTTCGCTCTTCAAGATCACCTGCTCTAATCAAGAAGAATTCCACCTTCTCACACGTCATGCCATCCTTTTCATTGAAAGCAACTTTTGGTATCAAGAATAAAAAGAACAGGGGCACTGTCGATCAGCAACAGTTTTTCAACACGGTCAATAATAATGGCTCATTTGCCAATGAGGTGGATTCTATGAATGGCGGAGGGCTCTTTGGCGCTGGTGGCATTAACACGTCGGGTGGTTCCGAAAATAGCAAACTCATCAATTCTGTCAAGGCAAACACTGCTCCTGGACGATACGGTCGTCCCCGCTCTGCTTTGCCTCGTCATGGAAGTAGCAATGGCAATGAGTCGTATGGCAGAAGCACGTCCCGCAGCAAGCTCAAGTCTACGCCCGAGTATTTTGTGCATTTGCTACAAGAGACACATGTCAGAGACTTGGAAGACTCGGAAGTGCTTGATCTTCGCGTGTTTTTGCGTAGTGTGGTAGTCAGGTAATTTCCTCTAGAGCGTTACTAAATGACAGCATTAACACCATCACACTAGTTGGACAAGCGAGTTCTTGGCTCAAGGTGGTTATGAAGCAATTGCAAACCTGTTCAAGCAGATGAAGGAGGCACCCAAGAGACTGCCAAATGACAACAGAATACTGCAGCATTTGGGTAAATGTCTCAAGACCATCATGACACATCAGGTAGGTATTCTGGCTTGATATTTGCCGATAGACTCTAATTTGATGAGAACGTAGTCTATGGGCACTCAAATTGTACTTACAAACCCCAGTGCTCTGTACCATATTCGAGACATCCTGTTTGGCCCTGCCAACAAGAAGCAAAAGCAAGTGTATGGCCTGGAGATCAGCACCAGAAGTCTGCTATTGAACCTGCTGTGTACATTGGCCACCATCCAAACCAACCACACATCCGAAGTGGAATACGTACACGGTTATGATGTGCTTCGCCGTCTGTTACTGGATCGTCCCTCGGATGCCCTTTCCAATGACGAGGACGACAAGAAGAACCAGCCCAAGCATGTGTCTCCTTTCCCCATCTCTCTCAAGACGGATCCCAAGGAAATCTTGCAAATGATCATGGAGAATGACCCCAATGGTCAGGCTATTGGCAGAGAATACGAATGGAATCGTGATGAGCTAAAGCCACGCTATACTGCATGGATGCGTGAGCTTCAGTACACTGTTGAGAGGCACATTGAGACTATCACCTTTTTGGCCAGTGTATTGAACTATGACTTCAACAGTGCTTATCGTCAAATCAAATCAAGACAAAATGGACAGTCTGAGCCATCTGGTAACAATGCAGAAGCATCCGGTGCTGTCATGACAGAGGAAGGTGTAGTGGATTATATTGTTACACATCTGCGTCTTATCCGTACTGTTGTAACGACACAGCCCACCACTTATACTGGCAATTATGATGAACGTGAACAGGAAAAGATGCGATTGGAGTTGATGCTCTCGGGCTTTGATAAGATCTCAAAGGTTTGTTGTAGCACAGCATGGGCTATTTTGCATCAACTGACTAAACACGTTCTATAGATTTTGATTCAGTGTCCTCACCCTACTGTGCGTTCATCGTACATCAACTATCTGAAGCCTCTTATGAATCCATGCGCTGATCTCTCGCTTCCTACTGGTGACACTACTCTGGATGAAGATGCATCGCCTCCTCCTTTGCCTGCACGCAGCAACCATCCTATCACTAGTCGCTCTGACCCTCATTTGAATCAAAGTAGTAGCCGTCCTCGTTCATTTGGTGATGATCAAGAATTCACCAGTGATAGCAGTGACGAGGATGATTATGAGATTTCAGTGTATGCAGAGGACAATTTGGATGAAACGCTGCAACATCATCACTCGCTCAGGCATCACCAGCAACTGCAACTGCAACGTCCGTCAGAAGAGGACGAATCTGAGTATGGTACTGTCAGAGACACTCAGTGGAGATATGAACAGGAGCCCTACTATGATGATATCTTTCATGATGAAGAATACATTGAAGATCATTTTAATTCAGAAGATGATGATGAGGAGGACAGAGATGATCAAGGAGATGAATCCAATATCTCTGAAAGTCGAGTAGATTATGCTTATTATAGCCAAGAAACTGATTCTCTTTACAGTGCTCATGATGACAGACAACACTCTTCTACTGCTTCCACGAGAATTGTCAACCTCAATGCTCCCACTGCTGGCCATTAAAAATCATTTATAGCATACCACCACACACACATTATACCTCTTCTTCTATCTTTCTCTCTTCCTCTTTGTCCATTACCTATGTCTATATAGCTTACATTTGTATATCTCTGTCTCCCATCTATTCCCCCTTCTTTTCGCTTTCTCCTTCTTTTACATATATATCTTTTAAAATAAACCTTTTACATACTTTACAATTTGTCGTGTATGTTTTGATACTGCCAAGAGATTTGACTTGAGAACATGATAGCGACCGTTGCTAATACTATTTTGCATCGTGTTATTTTTTTACTAACCAAGATGTTTCTTATTTTCCTCAAACAAGCTTTATCTTTGCTGCATGGTACGCCAGATGTGAGATGACTCTATATCTGAGCTTGTACAAGTAAATTCTGAGGAGTGCATGCATTTGTCTTGTCATATAAAGCAACATGTGAGAAAGACTGAAGCCAATCAATAGTTATTAAGGCAGAGAGTGCAAAAGTTGATTGGATCATGCACTTCATTCTGTGAGGCGGTTGCCTACAACTGGCTAATGTCAACTGGTCCATTCATGCTATACATTAAGAAATGAGGAGTTTGAGCCAGTCTTGCGTATTGTATTTCATGTAATGCAATGTACTCTTGTCAAAATTGTATCCATCGCCGTTTGTAGGTACAATTGCACAATGCACATTTGAGGGTGCTGCTTTTGAACTATTGATGAAGATTTCCTTGTCATGATAGTTTACACTTTAGTATGCTTGCTTCGCTGCATTGTTGGCTTTCACATTTAGACGAGCCATGGCCTTATTAAACTTTATGCACACAGGACAAGCCGTGACCTGCTTCATAAAAGCTTAAGGATTGTTATAAATCAGTGACGCTGCACATGGAACCGCTCTACCTGAACTGTAAAGCCATAAAATCCCTTAATGATTATAGCAACAACACTTGCAAACCTTATCACAGAGATAAGGCTATAAATGCGCAGCAAATCTTTGACCCTTCACCAAACCACAACTAAGGATGATTGAACCAAGCATTTTTCAATACAACAACGTTTTGCAGCACCACATCTATCAATCTCCAACTCGTGATCAGTTGTAATTAGCAGCTCTCAATAGGATTTATATAATAATCTCTGCTCAAAATTGTATTATTTCGAAAATCGTCTGTTTTAGAACAACAACCAACCTTTCAGCCTATAATCCAAGTACACTGTCAGTTTACTTGTGATGAATTCGTAACAATAAAGTCAATGATAATAATCAGTCGTTGCCAACTGTATCATCTAAAACGAAAGCAAACAGTTTTGTATTTATTACAGGGCACCTAGCTAGCTTAAATATGATAGATCTCTAGTCAACGACTACTTCATTTGAGATGGTATAAATAATAGCAATCAAATGGGACCATATTAATTGCTAGTAGTATAGTTATTTGAGAAATCAGCAAAGTTGATACGTTCTATATACTGTAGATGGATCTTAACATCTTGACATTGGGGAGACGGAATTGATTGTAGTTTCTGAAACATCAGTGCACACACATTTGACTGGAGTTATAAACAAAATATAGATGTGATATGATGCGACAAGCATCATTTATGTTGTTACATTTCAAAAATGGCTTGGCAGAAACGGAATACGGCGTAGGATGCATGCTTGTATGCTGCAACTCGCAGAATTTTGCTATAACAAGAGCGTGCTACTTTCAGAGCTCTATCATCAACATTATAAAACTTGATTTTGGACGCCTCAAACCTCCATATCATAAATACTTTTGTATAGTCTTCATAACTTTTGCTATGAGGTAAAAAATAGCAGCCTACGAGATTGAAACATATTGGAAATCAATGATAAACGACACAGGATATGTTTGGGCGTATTCTTTTATTACAAACACAAGCTTATTATAAATGACAGATCAATAGGAAATCAACTGGTTGTAACCCTTCGTTGTTCCAACCTCTGAGCCAATCAGGTTGCTTGAAAACTCCGCTGACCTAAAAAAAATTTTGCGAGGGTTTCCCTCTGTTTTGATGTGAGGCAAAATTTTAAGCGCCGCTATAATAGCAATATAGCCGCTGCTATCATCAAACTTCCCCCAAGTGCTAGAGCATGCCTTACTTACACCACCTAGCTTTAGATTCTGGCATTGAGACTCTCAATCATCACTAAAGTAAGTAGTGATAACCAAGTGGAGACAGCCTATCTACCTCCTAGTCTCGGATAGAGTCTTGTTGAGCTTCAGGGATAGGCACATCCACACAACGTAAAAAGGTATGCTTCAAAGAAACATAATAAGAATAAAGGAAAGAAGAAAAGGACATGCTACAATACTATAGGAGTATAGTAGTATGTAAGCAAGAAAGGAACACTCACGCTAGCGAGTCAAAGAAAAGCGTAACAAACACAACATCAAAGATGTTCAGAACAGCTCGTTGCTGTTGCAAGAAAAATGCATATATGAGCAACGCGCATGGTAGTAATAGTCGAGTGTAAAGCAACATGACACAAATACGCACAACTGCAAAAGCAACAGTGGTATTATAAATTTGCGATATAACGTAGTAATGACTAATGTTGTTTCATGTAAAGCCACAGAGGAAACACCCACCAACAAAAGAAAAAAAAAAGAAGAAAGCGTAACAAGGCAAGCGTCATGAGTGCGCTATCACAAGAAAGGAAGCAATCATATAAGCGTTCAAAGAAGCTTTATATCATTGCGACCAGAAGAAATAAGATACCACTTACCACAGCCATAGATACACCAGAATAGTATACGCAATTACCGGAGACAAACCACAGAACGAGCATGCACCAAATACAGCAGACCGGGAAAGACCATATTGGCAGCAGCAGCAGCAGCAGCAGCAACACCAACACCGTAGAAGAACCAAAGAACGAACATCACCAGCAGAAAGCAGACAATGACCAAAAAAGCAACCACTAGACATGATAAACCAAAGAAGAAGCAGGCAGCAGATATAGCAGAGAAGTAATGGCAGCAGCACCTACGTCAAACAGACAAATAATTATCAAAACTTAATAAACAAATTAGATTAGTGCTGATTATACATCTTCCAGTGCTATTTATTGAATGGTACCTATTATATTCCACTTTAAAGAAGCAGTATCAATTACTTGTAACAGTGCAAGACCGTGTCATCAAAAGCTAGGGTTATATTTTCAATCAAAAGGGTTTCAAAACCAATATGGTTTGATACGAAACGCGTTTTACAAAAAGATGGGTATGGAATAATGAGAGGACACCTTATCCGACGTCACGACCAGTAGATTTGGTCTCAGTCTTCTGCCGTGGCAGCCGTAACTGCTGCACTTTAATTTGAAATTTTGCAGTGGGTATTTTCGTGTTCAAATTTGACTTGATCTTACATTTTTAAACGTTTTTGCTATATTTGACTATGAAAATTGTCATTCTTATACTTTACTTTCTATTGCGTTTATAAAGAGTCATTAAAGGCGCATCGAATGATGCTGGTTACATTTAGTCTTTAGACTGAAAACAATGAACAATTTGCAAAAATATAAAAACATCATTTCTGTGAATATGTCTGTGGAATTTGGGGCTTTATAGACTAAAATTCATGGAAAAAAAGAATAAAAAAACAGTAAAGTCAACTTGATAAAGATATGTTTTATTATCAAACTGACAGGTATAAAGTAAACTGAAGTCTCTCTACTGGCCAGGTAGATGATCCTTCTTATATACTATAACAATGGATAAAAGTTCTATTAATTGGATTAACAAATAAGTCAACTCAGATCAACTAATGTCTAATCATGCTAATAAAAGACAACTCCAGCAAGCTAATCATGATTTAGCTCTGTCTGGATGAATAATTAGACTCTCATCCGAAGTACCCTGATCTATCCTTTCTATAAGGATAATTAATATCGATCTAGTAGCATGTATCCGATAGGTACAGTCTTCTTAGTCTATATTAATAGTACATATCTGAGTGTATATCGCTAAGCATACATCTTTAGCATGTATCTGGATATATGGTGGCATGTCTATAGCATATCGTATGCATGTCTATAGCATGTCTCATATATAGTACAAGTCTGTAGTACATAAAGTATCTGTAGCTAGTATCACGGATATAAGCATGTGTCTTATAGCGTGGATCATAAAGTGCACATCTGAAGCAACAAGCTCATATTGCATTAATCTTGGTGCCTATCCAGATATGGTAAACATCCGTAGTCAATGCCGGAATACAAGTATAAGTCTATAGCGCCATCCATGTCCGTGGTGCCATCTATAGCCTATATCTTATATAGTATGAATCTTATACAGTGCGCGAAAAAAACGTTCCAGTGTTTTGCCAATTCGTAGTTTTACACTTACAGCTCTGTCAATTTTTTCCAGTTTTAAAACTAAAGTAAGACTACGAAAGCTTGAGTTTTTAGCCACAAAATGAGCTACTAAAATAATTGATACAGTAGATATTAAGCAAGTGCAACTGACGTAAAGTAAAAAATTTCGATTTCGTAAAATTGGAAATATCGCTTGATGACCTTATTGTTTGTATATATTTCACGAAAATAATCTGAGAGCCGTAATTTTTTATATCAGTTATGTTTAAAATGTTAGTTATCCGAGGAATGCTTAAAAAAGTATAAAGAAGCCTGAGATTTTGGTCTTTTCCCTCATTATATTTTACCATCTTTACTTCATCACTTTTTTTAACATGACACGTCCCATTCCTCAAGAGGTTCAAGGATTTGTCAAGGCTCTTTTCAACCAAGGTTGTTCCCTCCGTGCCATTCAAAAAATTTTCCCAAATTTGTCCGTCAGTGTACTTTCTCGCTATAGGAAGAAGTTTCTTGGTCATTCAAAACATGCCAAACCCGGAAAACGCAGCAAAATCACTACGCAAAATATGAACTACATTGAGAGAAATCTCCGCAATGGTAATTTAAACGGCCCCAAGGGTGTGCAGTGCTACCTTGCTCATATGGGAGTTCAGATGACTTTGAGGAATATACAGT